GGAAGATGTCTTTTGAGTTCATTTATCAAAAATAAAATTACATTGTAGAAAATCACGAGATTTTTTAATAAACATTATATAAAAGCCGACATCCATTGTTTTTATTTGTATTTCCTATACAAAAATCAAGTGACAAATATCATAATTGTGATTGTGACATCACACAATCTTGAATAGTGGTGTGATCTTCACCTTTCCTCAGGTCATTGAACCTTTCCTTTCCCACACATTTTAAATTTATTTTAAGAGTAGGGTTTAATTAAAATCATTTTTAAAATTCAAATTAGGTCTTATTTTCAGGCCAGGTCGTATTTTTCAAGGAAACACGGTGGTTTTACGTTGATTAGCCATTGCTGTGTTCTGTGTTATGTCATAAAAAGTTAAATGGGTCGCCATAAGTTGTGGTAATAAATAGTGGGTCGCAACTCTAAAATGTTTGGGAACCACTGGAATAGAATATTGCTCGTCTCAAACTCTTTGAGCATGAAATGACTGCAAGTACACTCAGATTTTACGATTCGGTCGATTATAATGTAAAATTTCGTTTTTCCGACCAAACTGATTCCAGACTTTTATTGATTCGACCCAAAAAAGCACTTCTGCTGCTTTTAAACGGTCGTTAATTCGACCCCGAATTCTCACTTTGCGATCAAATAAATTTAACTCCGTTCTCATCTTCGAGATAACGATTTCACTATCGAATTTTTTTCAAAATATAATTCTAAATTTCATTCCATTCTGATCCCAAGACCACTCACTACTATTCCTGTAAATAACTCTAACGCCGATCGCAGAATTCGATTCTGTGTGGTTTTCAACATCGTATGTACATTAGTTGCTTAACGATAGTTGCTTAATTTTGTGTCAAACTTGGAAAAACGGCGACTGAGACTTTGCAGATGTTGCCTGATGTTTATGGAGATTCTTCTATGTCCAGAACAAGAGTTTTTGAATGGCACAAGCGATTTGTGGAAGGCAGGGAAGATGATCCGAGGTCAGGGAGGCCTTGCACTTCCCCTACTGATACCAACATCGAAAAGGTTTGGCAGTTGGTTCGCAGTGACCGTCGCTTAACAATTCGCGTCATTACCAACGAAATTGGGATGGACAAAGAAACGGTCCGCACCATTTTGGTTGACACGTTGGGAATGCGAAAGGTGTGTGCCAAAATGATGCCAAAGGCTCTTGAGTTGACTGAGGAGCAGAAAACTCAACGATTGAATGCATGCCGAGTTGACATGCATTTTTCCAAGTTTGACACAAAATTTAATGTTAATTCTTTGCTCAATCGTCATTCTGTAATTGAACCCCCTATCGCCAAAAAACTCAATCAGACCTCGCACAGCATTTTTTTTCAACAAGAATTTATCACATTCACTTATGGATCCTGAAAAGCAAAAATAATTGCGATATTGTGTCAAAACAGCTGTTAAACAAAGAACACATATTACGCCACACTGCAAAAGTGTTGATTACCGATGGTTAATCGTGTTGCGCAATCTGTAACGTCAGTCCCGTTTCATTTTAGCCGCACCTCGTACAGTGCATAAAACCGTCAAAATCCTAGCAAAATCGTACAAGAACAGTGAAAACCACAAAAATATTTGCGAAAAACGTACAAAAACAGTGAAAACGGCCAAAACCAACGCTAAAAACGTACAAAAACCGGCAAAAACCTTGCAAAACCTCCGAGCACAGAGACCGACTGGGTATGGTTTTCAGCATCGATAAGCTTGCAGCTAATGTACATTGCATAAAACCTCGATGCGAACTCGCAGATTTATAAATTATCCCTTTAAACTCGTTGGACATGTTATACATTTTCCAGCTGAAAGCACCTGATGCACAAATATTCAAATTTGAATTGATTTTTTATGAGTAATGTATATAGAAAGCTGTGGAATTGACGGTTTTATGCGCTGTGTTGTCGAGATAGACATTGATGGATACAGTGCAGAGCGTAGTCTTCTCTAAATATCCCAGTTAGTCGACTAGGGTCAACTAAAATGTTTGAACTCTGGGTAGCTTGTTTAAAGTCTTGTTTGAAATGAGCGCTGTCTCGTTGGACATTACTTGTTCTATTTCCTATTAGATCAGTGTTCGGCAAGCAGTGGGCGCGGGCCAAGCGTGGGCCACCAAGAATTTTCTAGTGGGCCCTTCAATTATGGGCAAGGATACACAAAAAAGTTTTATAAATCTAACATTACATATAATTTTTTTGCCGAATAGTTTTTGTTCATATATCTAACTATCATACGTTCCGTTGATTTCAACGAAACAAAATTAAATGTTCCATAACAATTTTATTACGTAGTTAAATTTAAAATTTCCAGCGAAATTGTTGGGCATTAAAACCCTATCCATTTTGGCCTCATTTAAAAAACATTGTCGACCACTGAATTGGATCATTGTAAATTTTAAACTGAAATTAAAATTTTCAACTGAAGCTTCTAGTTACGAGCCCCAAATTGTCAGCAGCAGAATCCACCCAAAATGCTTGAAATTTTTAAGTTGTAGTTTAAGTCATACAGGAATGCGTTGTTCAATTAGTGTTATTGATTCGAATAGACGAATAATTGCCTTTTCGGTTATACCTTGTTTACTTGGCGTGGAATAATTATAACTCTGTAAATTGTAACTTTCAGGTTTGAGTCAATCATTCCAAAATGCATGAAATTTAGTGTGTTAACGGTGTTGGCAACTTGTCGTAAGCCTTATTTAGAGTGAGCGACGAATGAATTTCCACATATGAGTTACAGTCAAATTTTGTGTTCCGGAGATTTGAGCTTCCTTATTAACTTTAGAGTTTTTGAATATTTCGATATATATCGTGCTGCCAGATGGTATGTATTCATTTACTCTAAAAACATGAAAAAAATGCTATTTCTGGAATAATTTCATGTACAAAACAAAGCCTGTATAAAAGATTCAATTTGAACAACATATTGCAATTTCTATGGTCATTCATTATTGTCTTCATTTCTTTATAATATATGCAACAAATGCTAATCTCTGTATAAATTTAGACATACTTTCAAGTCAATAATCGTTGATGTATAACATGGTATTGATGTATTCCCTTTGCTTATCACCCAAAATTTTTATTTTGGTCACGATCGATTCAGTTTTGGTATTCATTTATTCTTAAAACGTGCATACAAATGCTAATCCCTGTATAATTTTAGAAATAATTTCAGGTTCATAAGGGTTGGTCTTTGGTATTGTATTGATATATTCATTTTCACTTTTCCTATTGCCCAATTTTTACTTTCTGGTCTCGTTCGATTCGTGGGGAATAGGATGGATTATAATTCCAACTCTCAATTTAAATAAATCCCGAGTAAGAAATTATCAAACTTACAATAATTTCCGTTAATTGAACAGAAATAAAGTATGACATACAGTAAGGTAGATTCAAAAGTTTTCAAGTGATTTTTACTGCGAGCAGAAAATGAAACGCCACGGTAGCATCGAGGGGAGTGCAGGTATAGATTATTTCAGAGTCATTATTGGTCCCTCCTGAAGTATGCGCACCAAGATGGCGCACAACCTGAACTCAGGTTGTGTACCAGGTCATGGTTCAGGTTGTGCGACATCTTGGGCGCATACTTCAGGAGTACCCATTATTGTGACCATGAGCCTGTGCAAAAGATTCAATTCAAATTGCAATTCGTAATGTTATTCATTATGGACTTCATTTTTTTTTAAATATGCAAAACAACAGATGCTAATCTTTTATAATTTTAGAAATAATTTCAGGTTCATAAGCGTTGGTGACTTGGTGTATAATATTTTATCGATATATTTATTTTCGCCTTGCTTACCACCGTCGCGATGTTATTCTACTATAGCCATGAGCCTGTACAAAATATTCAAATCAAATTGCAGTTTCTAATGTTATTCATTATGGTCTTCATTTTTTTTTTAAATATGCAAAACAACAGATGCTAATCCTGTATATATTTTACGAATAATTTCATGTCAATAATCGTTGATGTATAACATGGTATTGATGTATTCTCTTCGCTTATCACCCAAAATTTTTATTTTGGTCACGATCGATTCAGTTTTGGTATTCATTTATTCTTAAAACGTGCATACAAATGCTAATCCCTGTATAATTTTAGAATAATTTCAGGTTCATAAGCGTTGGTGACTTGGTGTATAATATTGTATTGATATATTTATTTTCGCCTTGCTTACCACCGTCGCGATGTTATTCTACTATAATATGGTATTGATATATTCCCTTTTTCCACAGATTTTTATTCTGGTCTTGTTTTATCCAGTTTTGGTAAAAGTATACTCAATTGTAGGGGAAAAAAGTTTCTTTCTCACTACATTCTTGAGGAATATATATTCTGAAGTCAGCACGAAATGCTATTTTGCAACGTTTGCGGTATTTCTTATAATAACAGAAAAAACATATTGAGCATCGAACTATCATGTTAATTTGCGCCCAAGATCGTTGCTAGTATGCGCAAAATGAACATGTTATAGTTTAGACCAAGCTTTAGGTTTATTGCTAATTAAGAAAATGAGAACAATTGAAAGTGCATCAAGTGCTTCTCATTTGGATAAATTCTATTTTAATATATCTTCTGTAGACATAGATATAAATATTTATGTAAAGTTTATGGCGCTACAGAAGTATGTGTACCAATATGGAGGTAACTAATTTTGTTCGCCTACTTTACATCAAGTTGTGTTCAGGAACTGAAACCTATGGACAGAGCGTATATTCACTTGACTAACACAGACCGACCTTGTAATAGAGCTAAAATAAGGAAAGTCGAAATAAAATTATGGCCCAACCCTAATGGTGCACGCACCACGGGAGTACCATTTTTATTGCTTCATGTTTTAGTTTACCGAAAGCTTCAAGCTTTATAGCTTTTTCAAAAAGCTAGGCTAATTTAAACTGCCATAAAGACATGTTATATTCGCGTACATTTTATTATATTCAATTTATTCACAGGTATGAATATATATGTTTAGTTATTATTGCAAATAATATGGAGGATAAACTTCCTGGGGTCATAGAAATGACCGGAGTCGACACAAAGGAAAAAGACGACAATGCTAATTATGACGTAGAAATGGGAAATTGTAACACGTCACAAAAGGGATCTCAAAAGAAACTATGGCAACGACTGTTTCAGATTATTAAGGTATTTATCATTTTCATAATTTCAGAGTATAAATTTTGAGTAAAAACCGGTGTTATTGAAATATGACCTAACCCTAACCTGGTACACATACTACGGGAGTACCCAATTTGATTGTTTACTTTGTATTGAAGTGTTGCTTAGTAATAATTGTGTGTGTATTAAATATAAAAAGTATACACTTGGCAACATCTATTTTGCTTATGAAAAGCCACGCAACTACATGTCGTTTAGTATTCAAGCATATCCTTGTGTCGCCAGATTTTACATAATCTATGTTTAATTTGGGTCGAATGAAAAATGTTTGGGAACCATTGATTCAGATGACTGGATTGGCTGCTTGTCTCGAGCCGTGATTGGAGCAAATCTTTGGAAAAACAGCTTTGTCATTCTATGGGGTTCCCAAACTTAATTGGCCGCCGGCCAAAATTTGAATCAGAGGGATGTTCGCGGGCACGGAAAAGGGAAGCGCCCGAAAGTGCGTGGCATGTCTAAGCTTTTATGGTTAATAACTAAATTACTGCCCGATGTAATCATAATACCGGTACGAATAACTGAGATAACGCTTTAATAGAATTGTTACGATAAAAACACGTGCTTAAAGTGTGATAATGGCGTAACACTTGGCGCTATCCGGAATGTAAAAAGGTGAAACAAAATCTGTTGCACTAACTTGCACACTATTTCACTCAAGCTCGGCAGGGCCATTTTAAATCGTTACGCGGGCCGGATTTGGCGCGCGGGCCGCGGTTTGGGAACCCCTGATTTAAATGATTATAGTCCAACCCGAGTCAAGTCAAGGTGTCCAGCGTCCACGATATCGGTAAAACTGTGTTTTCAAAGATCCACTATAAGAAAGGCTTATTTTATTACAAGCAGTTTATGAATTCAAAATCTCCTCAAACCTCTGGCTCAGAATTCAATTTCAAATTTACATTCAATAATTCAGAAACGAATATTTCAAATTTTTGCGTTCAAATATTTTTTAAATGAGTTAGCTGGAGGGCGAATGACTACTCAAATCAATAAATTTGTTATCGACTTGGTTTAAAGATTTCATGATTTAACACAAAATTTTAGTAAACTGTACGTGTTTTGCTATAAATATGTTTCCAATTTTAAATTTAGTTAACAAATCCGCATCTGGAGCAAAAATCAAATCGAAGGATTCACTAATTCCCCACGCTTACACGTCGGGAATGTAAAATCCGCAAAAATCCTCCCCAAATCCCAGGGGAACATCGAGTTTTTACGGATGGTCAGAGTTTAATTGAATTCATGTCTTATTCATTAGAGAAACCACAATCCGGAGCTTAGAAGCCTCGCCATGTAAAATCAGTGTTTCTAGCACTCTCTCACATGTACTGCCCTTTCTTGTTTTATTTTGCTGAATATCAATATATTGGAATAAGATATAACTGACAGTGGAAATGTTGAGTTACTTAAAAATGACAAAACGCAAAAATTTTAAACATTATATATAGTGTTTCGGTTCACACACGCACTGCCCATTCTTATTTCACCTCGCTGAATATCAATATATTGGAAGAAGATATACCCGACATTCGCAATGTTGTCTATTCTAATCCGAATCTTTCTGGTTTGGCCGAAGTCAAGTCTTATACAATACAATCAATTATACTCACAGTGTCAGATTTAGGCACACAGATGTTCCATGTCATACGCGTTTATTGTAAAACGGTTGACTGTAAATAAAATGAAATAATCAATAAACAATCACAAGATGAGGGCGGAAAGAAAATGCATAACCAAAAGTTAATAGAAAATAAACTTACATATGATAACGCTCCAAAGGCCTAAATCGACAAGAAACTGACAGGAAACGTGAACGATAACGTTATTGGCATAAAAATAGCAACTAAATTTAGAAAGCAGTTAATAAGAATGAAATATAAAATACATGAACAATTAAAGCAATAAATGACGACGATGGTCATATGGGGCCCCGGTTACGATACCTTCACCACAGGTCTACCTAACGAGACCAAAAGCCACCCACACGCTAAGTCAATAAAGCGGATAATGCGAAACCACACACTAACATCAATAACAAGATTAAACAAGAACGTCCTACGACGCGTAAAGTCGAGATGCAAGAGCCACGCGTGACACGTCAGATGCAGTAAAGCCCGCGAAACTCGCGTCAAAACAGAAAAGCAATTAATCGATAAAAATTAGTAGGTCGGAACACTAAGAAGAACAGCGTTCAAAATATTATCAACTGAAAAGAAACTTCTATCGCCGACACAGCCGCCCCCATAACCCTCCAAGGGGTTATTCATTTTCCAGGAGGCATAGTTTCGTCACCTTCTGGTTATTTCCACACCTGCTGTTTTGACGTAGTTACACACACACGGTTAAAAGTAACTCTTTCTAGTAAACCAACGTCTTCTTGGCACGTCGTCATCTACAGCAATTTACGATATCATCAATAAATTCCTCTTTTTTCCAATTTGTTCGAGTCATCAGCATTGGTACATACGTTCGTCGCCAGCGCTTCCACAAGCGATTCGAAATTGCTTCGGTTTGTCTCCATCTTCTCTGACGCGCTGTTGATGCAAAGGTGTATTTAGGCGTGAGGGGAGCTGGATCACGTACGTTGTCGCTAATAGAAAAGGACGACTGTTTATAATATCGGGCGCGGCTAATAAAGCACTTTGCAGCTCTAATTTGGAAACGGACATAAATTTCATCGGAGAAACAATTGATTTGGCCATCGACAAACTATAATTCACACACTGACATTTCTTGGCACGCAAGTGAGCCACTGCGACGTAAGCTTGTTCAGACGCATCGCAAATCTCATAAATAGCGGTTTTCGAGGCGCCTAAATATTGTCTAGGCACATGGAAATTAGTCAATTGTTTTAATGATTCGGTCCACTCTTCCCGAGCATTCTTCCTGAGGTTATCTAAGTTTTTGTCCCATTTCAAATCATCTTTGTAAACAATGTAGAAATTGTCGTCATTAGTGTTCCAATGAAGTCCCAGCGCCTTATAACTGGGCACATAATCAAAATTTGATTCAACGTCAGGATTACGACAATCCCCTGTGTTAAATTTCGACAATAATGTTTTGAAATTTGAAAGCCATTTTTTTAATCGAAAACTCCTGCTTGCTAATATATTAGAATTTTCTTAAGCGTCGGAAAAAGCGGAGTCACCATTACATTCTGATGAAAGCAAATCGTCTACGTAGCAATCCCTAAAAACCGTTTCTACTGCTTCCATTGAAAATTGCCCGGTGTTATCAAGCGCGGTTTTTGCAACGTATAGCGAGTCGACCACACCAAATATTCTCACTAGAAATTGATACACATCAGGCGGGGTTGTGGATCTCAGATTTCCTTGCAAGAAAAATCTGACTGAATCCGTGTCCGACTGTGGTAGACGCACCATGTGATACATGGCTTCAATATCAGCATTCAATGCAATCAATCTTGTTCTGAAGCGCAATAAAACTCCAATCAGATTCTTAATGAGATCAGGTCCCGAATATATCTGATTATTCAAACCGATTCCACAATATGTATCCGCGGCGTCAAAAACTATTCGTATCTTGCCAGGTTTATTTGGATTCTCAACTCCATGATGAGGAAGATACCAAGTTCGAGGACCCAAAGTATCACGTTCTTTAACAGTCAGCTCTCGCACCCAATCACGTTTGATGTTTTTGCTCATAGAGGTGCAGTACACATCTCTCAGACCGTCATTTTCCAACAGTCGTTTTTTCGGATTCCTACATCTCGTACGGGCAATAAGACTGTTCTCCGACATAATGGAAGTATCGCGACGCCACAGAAAGCCGACTTTATAATGCCCCTCAACAATAGACGTTTTAGCTCTATTCACATTCGCAGCCACGCGATCTTCCACAGATTCGGCGCGCTTCGTGTTGTAGCTCATTACCATCGCTTCCGTACTCGAAAATTGCTTAACTTGGTGTTGCAAGATATTGTAATCATCGTGTAATAAATGACAATTAGCATGAATTAAATCGTCTTCACAGGCGCGTTTGTTTGCGCCTAGCAAAGTCCATCCGAGTGGTGTTCTTATTGCAATCGGTTCATTGTCTCCCCCTACACGTCTTTCAAGTTGAAAGTGGGCAAATGGATGGTCCGCACCTATGAGCAACATAACTTCGTTTTCTCTAATGTCAGGAAGTGATAATCCACGTAAATGATGGAAGGTTTCAAAATCTTTATGACTTCTTTCAGGGTGGGGAATTCTGGTGCCACATACGAAAACTGACTTTAGATGTAGTTCTTCGCCGTCGGGATTTAATTTGTCACGCACAAAAAGTTCGACCGCTTCCGAGTCATGCAAGACCCCAGTTCCTCCGAGGGTGGTTAACATGAGCCTTTTACGACGTCCACGCAAATCCAATTTAGTTTTAAGTTTGGGATGAATGAGAGAGACCTGACTTGCCGAATCAAGCAAAGCAACTGTATACTCGGAGCGTCCATTAGCTCCTCTAACCAGAACAGGCAGCAACTGAAATTGAACTCTAGTTGTTACCGACACCGCATTGTTTATACCCTGTCGGTTTATTGGTCTTGGGACGCTTTCAAACATGCGAATTCCATGAATACATTTGTGATGTTTCCCATTGCATATACTACACTCGACATCACATCTACACATAAATGCACGATGGCCCGGTTCAAGACATTTAAAGCAAAGTCTGTAATCTACAACAAAGTTACGTTTTACATAATCGGTCGCACCGAAAAACGTCTCACAACTTCTCAAAGAATGGCGAGCATTGCAGAATTGACAACGTGATGCGTCACTATATGACGTATAATCGGATTCCAAGTTTGATAACGTTGAAAATGGAGTCGGAAATCGGCGACGAGCGCTTCTGGGCATCTCGTGGTCAGTTAAATCAGTTCTATTGATCACATTGCAAGTAACATCTGGAGAAAAAGGATTGGCGATTTCTTCAGTTCTTTCCCACAACCATTGCTCAAAGTCAATTAATGTCGGATTAGAGTTTTTGTGAATAAAACCTACAACAAATTTATTCCAACTCGAGTTCAGTTCTTGAGGAATCCTGCTTGAAACCCTTCTTACATTCTCGACGCTACTGATGTCAGCCAAATAACACATCTTTTTGAGATTCACCACGCAGTCACGCACGTCTGAGTGAAAATTTAGCAATCTATCGGCCGAAAGAGGCGACATACGTTTTCCATTTACAACTCGGTCAAGCACCGCCCGTGCGATCAGTACCGGCTGTCCGTAGCGGCGTTTTAATTCCTTTAAAACCAGTATGTAATGACTACCGGCGGTACCTAATCCCTCAACACGACGCTTCGCCGAACCCGACAAATACGCGGACAATCTCACCATGCGTTGACCATCATCGTCTAACCGTGAATGAACATTTTCATAAAACAATTCAATGAAATTAGGCCAGTTTATAGCACTCCCATCAAACGGACTTATTTGTACCGGCGGCAAATGATGCTCAGCCCACATTTTAGAATTTAAACTCAAAGATAAACACGTTTGCTCAGCTAGAGAAATGTTATCATTTACCGTTCTGGATCCTGCTTGATTTGGTTGGAGATTATCGATCCAGGAGTCTACCGATTGGTCTGGCAACGGCATTTGGTTTGCTGGTGAAGGATTTTGGTAATGTCTTGGAGTGTAAGAAATCGTATATTCACGACGTTTATCTGACGCGGTAAAAGTCTCTGGTTCGAAGCGGGCACTTTTCTTCGAGTTGATTGTAAACACGTCGTGTTCGTCAAAGTTATTGAAGCCTGTGGCTCATAAAGGGCTCTTTAAAAGAGTTGGTGTTTCTCGGCGATCGTCGTGTTCTCGTGCTCTAGATTCTCGAAGTTGGTCAGTCGCCGCCCCCCATTTCACCCCGGACTGCTTGGCGCACGCTGGCTGGAGATTTTTTGTATTATCGCTGTTCCTCTTCCCATCCCTTTCACTTGAAATCTGAGAGTTCCCTTCGTCAGGAGCCACGCACGATATTTCAGGTTCACGGTCGATGTAACTATCAATTTCATCGTTCATACCTTCAACTTCAGATATCACTTTCTGAACGCATTCTTCGAAAGCAGCTTTCGACTCTGCGTTGCGAATTTGAGTAATTGTTCGATATAATTTGATTATAGGCGCCAGTTTAAATGTAACTCTGTTTTTAGGCATGCCAGCTGCAGATCTTCGAGCCTTCTCGCTTATCAAATTTCGACTTTTGGTCAACAATGATTCAAACTCAGTCTCTTGTGTTGATACGCTTTTGTACTAAGCGTGGTTAAAGGGATGGCAAGCCCTCGAACGTTTCGTCAGCTGCAGAGTCGCCTTCTTCCGTAAATGTCGACGATGAAGCCACTGTTGGCTTCAGATTCTTTAGTATTTGACTTCTTCAACAAAATGCGTCATATTTCAACTTTGTCAGATTTAGGCACACAGATGTTCCATGTCATACGCCGTTTATTGTAAAACGGTTGACTGTAAATAAAATGAATAATCAATAACAATCACAAGATGAGGGCGGAAAGAAAATGCATAACCAAAAGTTAATAGAAATAAACTTACATATGATAACGCTCCAAAGGCCTAAATCGACAAGAAACTGACAGGAAACGTGAACGATAACGTTATTGGCATAAAAATAGCAACTAAATTTAGAAAGCAGTTAATAAGAATGAAATATAAAATAACATGAACAAATTAAAGCAATAAATGACGACGATGGTCATATGGGGCCCCGGTTACGATACCTTCACCACAGGTCTACCTAACGAGACCAAAAGCCACCCACACGCTAAGTCAATAAAGCGGATAATGCGAAACCACACCACTAACATCATAACAAGATTAAACAAGAACGTCCTACGGACGCGTAAAGTCGAGATTGCAAGAGCCACGCGTGACACGTCAGATGCAGTAAAGCCGCGCGAAACTCGCGTCAAAACAGAAAAGCAATTATCCGATAAAATTAGTAGGTCGGAACACAAAGAAGAACAGCGTTCAAAATATTATCAACTGAAAAGAAACTTCTATCGCCGACACAGCCGCCCCCAATAACCCTCCAAGGGGTTATTCATTTTCCAGGAGGCATAGTTTCGTCACCAGTCTGGTTATTTCCACACCTGCTGTTTTGACGGTAGTTACACACACACGGTTAAAAGTAACTCTTTCTAGTAACCAACGTCTTCTTGGCACGTCGTCATCTACAGCAATTACGATATCATCAATAAATTCCTCTTTTTTCCAATTTGTTCGAGTCATCAGCATTGGTACATACGTTCGTCGCCAGCGCTTCCACAAGCGATTCGAAATTGCTTCGGTTTGTCTCCATCTTCTCTGACGCGCTGTTGATGCAAAGGTGTATTTAGGCGTGAGGGGAGCTGGGATCACGTACGTTGTCGCTAATAGAAAAGGACGACTGTTTATAATATCGGGCGCGGGCTAATAAAGCACTTTGCAGCTCTAATTTTGGGAAACGGACATAAATTTCATCGGAGAAACAATTGATTTGGCCATCGACAAACTATAATTCACACACTGACATTTCTTGGCACGCAAGTGAGCCACTGCGACGCAAGCTTGTTCAGACGCATCGCAAATCTCATAAATAGCGGTTTTCGAGGCGCCTAAATATTGTCTAGGCACATGGAAATTAGTCAATTGTTTTAATGATTCGGTCCACTCTTCCCGAGCATTCTTCCTGAGGTTATCTAAGTTTTTGTCCCATTTCAAATCATCTTTGTAAACAATGTAGAAATTGTCGTCATTAGTGTTCCAATGAAGTCCCAGCGCCTTATAACTGGGCACATAATCAAAATTTGATTCAACGTCAGGATTACGACAATCCCCTGTGTTAAATTTCGACAATAATGTTTTGAAATTTGAAAGCCATTTTTTTAATCGAAAACTCCTGCTTGCTAATATATTAGAATTTTCTTAAGCGTCGGAAAAAGCGGAGTCACCATTACATTTTGATGAAAGCAAATCGTCTACGTAGCAATCCCTAAAAACCGTTTCTACTGCTTCCATTGAAATTGCCCGGTGTTATCAAGCGCGGTTTTTGCAACGTATAGCGAGTCGACCACACCAAATATTCTCACTAGAAATTGATACACATCAGGCGGGGTTGTGGATCTCAGATTTCCTTGCAAGAAAAATCTGACTGAATCCGTGTCCGACTGTGGTAGACGCACCATGTGATACATGGCTTCAATATCAGCATTCAATGCAATCAATCTTGTTCTGAAGCGCAATAAACTCCAATCAGATTCTTAATGAGATCAGGTCCCGAATATATCTGATTATTCAAACCGATTCCACAATATGTATCCGCGGCGTCAAAAACTATTCGTATCTTGCCAGGTTTATTTGGATTCTCAAACTCCATGATGAGGAAGATACCAAAGTTCGAGGACCCAAAGTATCACGTTCTTTAACAGTCAGCTCTCGCACCCAATCACGTTTGATGTTTTTGCTCATAGAGGTGGCAGTACAACATCTCTCAGACCGTCATTTTCCAACAGTCGTTTTTTTCGGATTCCTACATCTCGTACGGGCAATAAGACTGTTCTCCGACATAATGGAAGTATCGCGACGCCACAGAAAGCCGACTTTATAATGCCCCTCAACAATAGACGTTTTAGCTCTATTCACATTCGCAGCCACGCGATCTTCCACAGATTCGGCGCGCTTCGTGTTGTAGCTCATTACCATCGCTTCCGTACTCGAAAATTGCTTAACTTGGTGTTGCAAGATATTGTAATCATCGTGTAATAAATGACAATTAGCATGAATTAAATCGTCTTCACAGGCGCGTTTGTTTGCGCCTAGCAAAGTCCATCCGAGTGGTGTTCTTATTGCAATCGGTTCATTGTCTCCCCCTACACGTCTTTCAAGTTGAAAGTGGGCAAATGGATGGTCCGCACCTATGAGCAACATAACTTCGTTTTCTCTAATGTCAGGAAGTGATAATCCACGTAAATGATGGAAGGTTTCAAAATCTTTATGACTTCTTTCAGGGTGGGGAATTCTGGTGCCACATACGAAAACTGACTTTAGATGTAGTTCTTCGCCGTCGGGATTTAATTTGTCACGCACAAAAAGTTCGACCGCTTCCGAGTCGTGCAAGACCCCAGTTCCTCCGAGGGTGGTTAACATGAGCCTTTTACGACGTCCACGCAAATCCAATTTAGTTTTAAGTTTGGGATGAATGAGAGAGACCTGACTTGCCGAATCAAGCAAAGCAACTGTATACTCGGAGCGTCCATTAGCTCCCTTAACCAGAACAGGCAGCAACTGAAATTGAACTCTAGTTGTTACCGACACCGCATTGTTTATACCCTGTCGGTTTATTGGTCTTGGGACGCTTTCGAACATGCGAATTCCATGAATACATTTGTGATGTTTCCCATTGCATATACTACACTCGACATCACATCTACACATAAATGCACGATGGCCCGGTTCAAGACATTTAAAGCAAAGTCTGTAATCTACAACAAAGTTACGTTTCACATAATCGGTCGCACCGAAAAACGTCTCACAACTTCTCAAAGAATGGCGAGCATTGCAGAATTGACAACGTGATGCGTCACTATATGACGTATAATCGGATTCCAAGTTTGATAACGTTGAAAATGGAGTCGGAAATCGGCGACGAGCGCTTCTGGGCATCTCGTGGTCAGTTAAATCAGTTCTATTGATCACATTGCAAGTAACATCTGGAGAAAAAGGATTGGCGATTTCTTCAGTTCTTTCCCACAACCATTGCTCAAAGTCAATTAATGTCGGATTAGAGTTTTTGTGAATAAAACCTACAAATTTATTCCAACTCGAGTTCAGTTCTTGAGGAATCCTGCTTGAAACCCTTCTTACATTCTCGACGCTACTGATGTCAGCCAAATAACACATCTTTTTGAGATTCACCACGCAGTCACGCACGTCTGAGTGAAAATTTAGCAATCTATCGGACGAAAGAGGCGACATACGTTTTCCATTTACAACTCGGTCAAGCACCGCCCGTGCGATCAGTACCGGCTGTCCGTAGCGGCGTTTTAATTCCTTTAAAACCAGTATGTAATGACTACCGGCGGTACCTAATCCCTCAACACGACGCTTCGCCGAACCCGAAAAATACGCGGACAATCTCACCATGCGTTGACCATCATCGTCTAACCGTGAATGAACATTTTCATGAAACAATTCAATGAAATTAGGCCAGTTTATAGCACTCCCATCAAACGGACTTATTTGTACCGGCGGCAAATGATGCTCAGCCCACATTTTAGAATTTAAACTCAAAGATAAACACGTTTGCTCAGCTAGAGAAATGTTATCATTTACCGTTCTGGATCCTGCTTGATTTGGTTGGAGATTATCGATCCAGGAGTCTACCGATTGGTCTGGCAACGGCATTTGGTTTGCTGGTGAAGGATTTTGGTAATGTCTTGGAGTGTAAGAAATCGTATATTCACGACGTTTATCTGACGCGGTAAAAGTCTCTGGTTCGAAGCGGGCACTTTTTCTTCGAGTTGATTGTAACACGTCGTGTTCGTCAAAGTTATTGAACCTGTGGCTCATAAAGGGACTCTTTAAAAGAGTTGGTGTTTCTCGGCGATCGTCGTGTTCTCGTGCTCTAGATTCTCGAAGTTGGTCAGTCGCCGCCCCCATTTCACCACCGGACTGCTTGGCGCACGCTGGCTGGAGATTTTTTGTATTATCGCTGTCCTCTTCCATCCTTTCACTTGAAATCTGAGAGTTCCCTTCGTCAGGAGCCACGCACGATATTTCAGGTTCACGGTCGATGTAACTATCAATTTCATCGTTCATACCTTCAACTTCAGATATCACTTTCTGAACGCATTCTTCGAAAGCAGCTTTCGACTCTGCGTTGCGAATTTGAGGTAATGTGTTCGATATAATTTGATTATAGGCGGCCAGTTTAAAATGTAACTCTGTTTTTAGGCATGCCAGCTGCGATCTTCGAGCCTTCTCGCTTATCAAATTTCGACTTTTGGTCAACAATGATTCAAACTCAGTCTCTGTGTTGATACGCTTTTGTCTAAGCGTGGTTAAGGATGGCAAGCCCTCGAACGTTTCGTCAGCTGCAGAGTCGCCTTCTTCCGTAAATGTCGACGATGAAGCCACTGTTGCTTCAGATTCTTTAGTATTTGACTTCTTCAACAAATGCGTCATATTCAACTTTGTCAGATTTAGGCACACAGATGTTCCATGTCATACGCGTTTATTGTAAAACGGTTGACTGTAAATAAAATGAAATAATCAATAAACAATCACAAGATGAGGGCGGAAAGAAAATGCATAACCAAAAGTTAATAGAAAATAAACTTACATATGATAACGCTCCAAAGGCCTAAATCGACAAGAAACTGACAGGAAACGTGAACGATAACGTTATTGGCATAAAAATAGCAACTAAATTTAGAAAGCAGTTAATAAGAATGAAATATAAAATACATGAACAATTAAAGCAATAAATGACGACGATGGTCATATGGGGCCCCGGTTACGATACCTTCACCACAGGTCTACCTAACGAGACCAAAAGCCACCCACACGCTAAGTCAATAAAGCGGATAATGCGAAACCACACCACTAACATCATAACAAGATTAAACAAGAACGTCCTACGACGCGTAAAGTCGAGATGCAAGAGCCACGCGTGACACGTCAGATGCAGTAAAGCCCGCGAAACTCGCGTCAAAACAGAAAAGCAATTATCGATAAAAATTAGTAGGTCGGAACACAAAGAAGAACAGCGTTCAAAATATTATCAACTGAAAAGAAACTTCTATCGCCGACACACAGAAGGTTAAAAATTTTCCACGAGAGGAAATATATTGTAGAAGGCTGGCAACGTTCATAAAGTCTTACATTTTTTTTTAAATAGCAAAGGGAATTTATCGATACCACATATTGTTTTGGCCTTCACGGATGTATTAAATGAAGTCGAAATACTTGAACAAATACTGAATGAAAACATTAAGTAAACGTGGTGCGGATATATCAAGAACTCACTTTACAACATCAATGGAAATTGTAACACTCTGTATAGAAAACAATTTTGTGATTTTTAAATCCTAATCCAAACCAGAACTCTACTGTGTTTCTATCGGTTTCTATGGCAATATCAAATCGCGCCAATTTTAAATCAATTTCACTAAAAATAAACATTTTTGTCGATAAATTATTGTTGAATTATTCACATTAAATTAGAATTGAAAATTGTGACGCGACGATCTGTACATTGTAATTAGAAATGGGATTTATTGTTTTTCAGTATTTCGGACACACTGTAAATTTTTCACTAGCGTATGGAAAAAGAACTGGCATTTGACTGTAAAGATACTAATACTTTTTTCAGTGAAAGACGGCTATTTCTGTTAAGAATATGCAAGTTTTAGAATTTATAGTGCGTTTCCCGCACGCGTTTACTAGTGCGTTTACTGTCCCTTTTTCTTCGCAAAAAACACTAGGGATTATTTTGGGGGGATGTCTTTTATGTGCATTTATCAAAAACAAAATTACAAAGTAGAAAATTACGAGATTTTCAAATATACAAAATATGAAAGCCGATATCCAATTACTGACATATAACACGTGGGTCTTATTTTAATGGGAGGCCTTTTATTAAAATCATTTTCAAACTTTAGGCTAGGTCTTATTTTCGGGGAACACGGTAATACACGAAACTAAAATTCAGTCGATACCACAACTGGAATTTATATTCGAAACTCACAAGGAGGCTTTACAAAACACACACTCATCTAACACAATCGATTTAATATTCGATTTCATGCGATTTTAATCACCCACTGGAGAATTGCGTTTGTGGTAAAACTTCATTTGATAACATCTGATTTAAAGCATGGTTTTCATAAAGTATAGTTTGATGCTTTTAATCCGAGCACTGTTGTGTATAGGCACCCACTGATATCGAGAAGGCTGGTATGGGAATCCGCCCTTTCTATTTGAGAAGTAAGATAATCATTTTTCCGTATCATACATAGCGATTTTTCTTAGCTTGAAACGTTGTTTAGAACGTTCAGACTCTTGAAGACCCACATCCCCGACTCGCCCATGCCTACTATATTTGGCAAGACAGGAAGATTTACTTCTCAGCTTTGCCTGACTAGGATTAGAATTTACGTATTTTATCCCGGGGGAGAGGAAAGCCGATAAGACGGCTTATTTTATCCCGGGAGAGGAAATCCGATAGGACGGCTTAACCATATGGCGAACCACGGCCTCTCGCCCGGTTACCATTCCATGTCGGGTATTAGTTATTTATTTGTTTTTTTTTCGGAAGCATGGACTTGATGGTGGAGGAAGCCGTAACCGACCAGCAGTTACGTGAACCACCCTATGGCAGCGAGGAGTCCAGCGATTCTCTCGCACATAACTACCCCGCGTGGGATTCGAACCTGCGAAACCACGCAGAGTAATTAGAGGTGCGGTGGCGAGCGTATTCCTGACGCTTAGCACGATGAGCCACACCGCCGCTAATTCATTACAACCTTGAGGTAGATTAATTGGATTCGAATATATTATCTAGTTAGGATTAACTTGATCAGATTGGAGTCTGCTTATAAAATTTCTGGGTCTTCTGTACAAAGTCCCCGCCAAAAGAAAACACCACCCGCGAACGCTAAAAATAAGAAAATAGTAATTCTCCACTTAGAGTTTAGGTTAGAAATACAGACTGTGCTGGAAATTAAATCATTTCTAAACCCGACTAAATAATTACGAATTCGATTAAGCATATTTTGGAGTCCCAAGATTTTATGAAATTAATTTTTTTTCAAATTTGGGTCGCTTGAAAAAAAGGTTGTGAACCACTGCCGTATCTGCTAACTTCTGGTACTTTTCAAATTAGCAACTTCTCACGAATAAATGTCTGCTTATACAAGGTCTTGTTCGGAACGTAGGCGTGGTGAATATTCTCAAAACAATTTTTATACATGCCTCCGTGATTGTGTGCGTGCGTGCTTTCATTCGTTTTAATAATTTTTGGAGAGGGAACACGTACAACATTTTTTAAGTTAACAATACATTTTCATCTAAAATTTGTACGTTTCAAACCTTACTTGAGGTTTGTTTTGCTCTTCTGATCCTTTAATGTGATTGTGTGTTCGTACTTTAATTCGTTTTAATAATATTTGGAGAGCGAACACGTACAACCTGAGCGTCAACCTCTTTTAACAATACCTTACCATCTAAAATCTGTACGCTTCAACCTTACTCGAGGTTTTTGTTTGCTCTCCCGATTCTATAATTAGTTTCATTTATTTTTATCAATTATTTTATCGTCTATTTTGCTGATTATGGCGTCGAAATAAACTTATACTTATATGATACTTATGCACACAGACGACAAACCGGGTTCGTCCCAACGCTCGCAATAAGGACACTGATGAAACGCAAGAAGAGTTCACATACAGACGAAAATCATTTCTGAGGAAATTTGCTCCGACGAAACAACGAGGTAGTCTGACTACTGCACATCACACTAACTCTAGATCGCCGGAAGAAACTGTTGAATATATGCCGAGCAGGATATGGTAAGATAAGATTGATCACTATGGCTATTTCTTCTTTACTTTCAATCTCTCCAGTTCGCGGCCCACTTTCATTGCCAATATTTTTGTGCGACGCACAATGAGATGTTACTATATGAGCAAAGAAACCTGTAATCACATGTAATATACTATTAATGCGAAACTTTGGCTTTCATATTAGATATTATCAAATAAAATTTATGCTTGATAGGAGGTAGCTAACATGCAACGTAGCAATGATGAAGGGTGCCCGTTTCCATGCTGTTTCAACCAAGCCTTCGATTTAGTTATAGCCACAGTTGGGGACGGTGACCGTACATTTGAACTCACGTACGTTTGAACCCATGTGTATATCCGCGGGTTCAATCTATATGCGGGTGCTAAATCCCATGGGTTAGGGTTAGTATGAGTTCAAATATCCGCAAAACAAAAAAAAATTCCATAGGTGCGCAATAGTATGCAGGTGCAATTGTCGTGGGTTCAAATGTACGGGAACCGTTGGGGACATGTAACGTACTGAACATGTAGAGGCGTACTGAAATCAATAACCCGACACAACGCATAATTCTAATTGTTACATTGTTTCATAATTGTTACGTAATGATAATGCCACAATTTCTCGATCTAATCGAAAACTGTATGTAACATTTGGAAATTTTGGATAGACAAATCAACCAATTTTTCTCCAAAACTATTGAAACCAATCGCTGTCAAATTTAGAAGTTAAAAATGGAAATGTTTTGCTATTACAGGTATTGTGATTTCAACCCAAATAGTGGTTTTGGGGAAATTGGCTCTTTTCACGTTTTCCACTGATCAATTGTAGTGACCCGATGCTTGACAAGTCCTAGCTGTAGGGATACATTACAAATATTTGTGCATTGTTGTCTTATTAGATTTAGTTTATGTTAAATTTGCAAACCACGTCGTCACGTACGGTAATAGGTATGTATAAATGCGTTATACACACGAGCGATAATCAGTCATAGATGCCCATCGTGCATCGAAGCCCCTATGTTTTCTCATAATTTAGTTTTGATCAGAGCAAAGCCACGGCCTTGCGAGCAATATAGTCAGGGTGCTTATTATAAAAAAGTGCTTACTTTTGAGTTGCCCTGTTAGGCCTCGGCAACCTTGCGAGTACGAGGCTGCATGCAACCTTGCTCGAAGCGACTTCTAAGAATAAAAAAAACTTGAGTGGATAAAAATCATAGTGCGAAAGGGACTAATAGGGAATGAGAAAGTGTATCATTCCTTCCTCATTTTTATTCTGCGTTACCGCCGTTGTTAAGTACCCCCCAAAATAACCTTTTGACATCCGTGCTCATTCTTGGCTCAAGGTAGATGGTAACCATGATTATAGTGGAAGAGTTGCGTCGATTCGAAATTTTCATCTGAACCGATACGTGTCCAGCCATACTAATAGACTAACATTGTCCTTGCGACAAGAGATGCCGAAAATACCGGCTGACGTGAGACTTGAACTGTCAGTGAGTAGGATAGTGAGGTCAAAAAGATGTGCACTACTGAAGTGTATTAAATAATAAGTCATCTTCTAAGTATCATATCGGAAATTTTCCACAGAGTTAACCTAATGATTTTTGAATTTCTAGCAAGATGACCGTTCAATACTGGGTCAAAAGAAAGTTTATGCCCTGACACAATGGCCTGTATCGATAGCTTACGCGTTTACTAACAAATGGCTTCATTCTCCCTGGAGTCCGCAGTGTATTCAACGATAAATGATTGTTTGTTCAATCATAGCTTTTGTGCAGTAACTATCCGATCTCGAATCTTACTGCTTGTTTTGAGTTGACGATTTTATGGCTCCAATCGCCTTCTTCGTAGGAGGCATACTAAGCTGCCATCTGACTAATACATCCAAGCGATAAAGTACATAATATATTGGTTTCTCTCCTTTTTTTGTAATTATTCAATTTTTTGGAATGGAAATACTACCCTCGGTGTCGTAGAAGGGATTAGATCATCCAGTAGATTTTTGGGTGTTTCAAAAGTAGCTGTTAATCGGAGGTTGTTTTAGTAAGGGTAGTGGCGTACCCGATGTTTACTTTCGCTATAAAATAAATTTCATTCCTGTTTACGACATAAATTATGACGTCACTTGTTTATGGAAAACAAATCTGGATTCTGAATTGTTTTCCCGTATTTGATAAAAATGCTTCTGTTGCAATCTTTTGACCGTAATCGCCTTCTCTAATCCTTTTATTACGAATTGCCGACGGGAAGCACTTGTTTTCATAAGAAATATTTCAATACAAAGAATATCGATTATTTCGCACAAGACGCCACGATTATTTGAATTGGTCTAATTTGAGACAAAATAAGTCTTAGCAAATCGATAGCCAACCCGCGCCCAATTTTTCAATCCATTAGGCACGGAAAAATTGAAGCCTAATTAATACTAAAAGTCTTGCTTGGGTGTTACCACTTATCAGTTATCATTTCGCTAATTAAAAATTTCGATTTGTTTGCTGATGGGCTCGGTTGTGTAGCCTACAAGAGATAGGACTAGGGTTGCCAACTATGAAAAGTTTCAATAAAGGACGTAGATTACCGTCAACATTTATTTTTTAACTTGCAGGAAAGAACAATCTAAAACAATAAATAAAAATTATATACAAGCTAAAAAGATATATTAAAAAAATCTTCATGTTTTTTTTAATTTGATGTTTGAATAACATTGACCCAAACGAGCTTTAATTTTGCAGTTGTTATATTTCTTCTGACTCTTTGCTGACTTCAGCAATTGTGAATCACTCTTTATTTTTTCCGAAAATTCACGACACGTGTCTTTCATATTAAAATCTCACTTTTCATTAGTTGTATGGAGCATCTGTTCCTTTCACAGCGCCATTTAGATGACATTAAACTAAAAATGCGTTCCCAATAGACTGAGGTTCCGCGAATTGAGAGCACAAATGAAACTATTTTGAAAACATTACCACACTTAAGATTAAAACGTTTCAATATATAGTGCCACTTACTGCTTGTTGTTTTGCATTATGTAAACAGTTTATTGCTTGGAATCGTACCAAAATTTTTTTGAATGCGTGCAACTTCATCAAATAGGCCATTCATATTCAAATTAAGTTTGTCTTTTAGCTTCAAGTGCTCTATACAATTTTTAAGTGTCTGATTTTTTAGAGATAGATTATCCAAAAAGAGAATGTTGAATTTTCATCAAAGTTAATTTTTTTTTCCCAAATACGTTATTGCAGAGTTGAGAAATATTCTAACTGTTTAGGAGCCACAGATAAAAGAACTAGCTTGAGCAACAGTGTGTTAAATAACTTCGTGCTCCCGAAGTATGCGAACCAAGATGGCGGACATCGGAACGTAACATGGGTAACAGGTTAGGGTTAGGCGATAATTTTTTTCCAATTTTCCTTATTTTAGTCCTATTATCAGTTCGAAGACTAGCCAAGAGCCTCCCGTAGTATTTATACCTAAAATTATGGCCTAACCCTAACCTAGTACACATATTACATTCCGATGTCCGCCATCTTGGTTCGCATACTTCGGGAGCCCAATAACTTAGACTTCACACAGCTCTCCAGCATATATCAGCTTCCTAGTGAGCGTATTTATATATAGGCGGTTTTAGTTCTAGTGTATTAGTATATATATATTTACGGTTCTAGATAACTCGATAACATACTATGATTACACAAGCATTTGCAAAAACAGCATTGTTGGATTGTGGACGTCATAGAGACCAATTATACCTATACGTAGAATTTTCAGTTATTGAACTAGTATTTACTATTTACTCAAATCTTGGAGTGTTGCCATTTCCGGAAAATTTATGTAAAATATTTGAAACGGTAATAAAATTGTTATTTTTTTGGTTATTTGAGCCGGACCAATGCGAAATTTAAAAGAATAATTAAAAGCTTGCAAATACATAAACGGAAGCGATTATTTAAGAACGACGTTGGAAAGAATAAAGGACAATTAGCATCTTTTCCAAATGCTAAAAAGAACAAGGACCGAAAAGCATAATTAAAGGAATGTCTTTTGAAATAAAGAACGGTTGGCAACCCTAGATATTTCGTTCCATCGGGCCAATTGTTCGGATAATATACTCTAACAGTATTGATTCCCCGTACATCCTAATTCTTCGATGAATCGCCCATTTTGTTTCCACCCTTAGTTTAATAATTAAATTTCCATCCCTATATTCATATCACAGATTTACCACCAACTTCATCTTTGTTTATTTTTGCTATCACCCCAATTTCATTGGCTTGAGCAACTTTAGGTCTCGTGTCAACTGGTAATCGTAGGCGTGAAATGCACTAACAACAATAATTCCATAAAGCGTCAATATCCCTTGGCGTTTCAACAGTCAATCGACACTTTGTTCAGAGATGAGTCTCCCCTACTGCAAAAGAGCGCGTGCGACTTTATTTTAGGCTAGTTCGCAATGTAACAAATCAATGAAATCATTATCCTTTTTTTTGTGGACTTTTGCACCAAAGAAGTCTACTTTCAAATCATTGATCAATTTCTTTTAGATTCATAATCTCGTAACATAAAAGTTTACTTTTATTTTTTATTCGCGAATTTACGTTAATAATTTAACTCGATCTATTTTTATTCCAGGTGTAACAGGGGTGTGGTCGACCCTGAAGGCACTCCATTGTACATATGGTTAGGAGTCGTCACTGTTGCCTGGACGTATAGTATGTGGTTGTTGATAGTTCGTCAAGCATTTCATGAACTTCAAGATGATGCACAGGTACGTATGACGTATTAATGACATCAAAATATTATAAACCAAACACACACAGATATATATAACAATGTCTTATATTTTCATTTATCAAAAACAAAATTACAAAGTAAAGAATTACGAGATTTTCAAATATACAAATTATGAAAGTCGATATCCATTTACTTATAAATACCACATTTTTATTCAAATTTGCCGCTAAACATAGCTTATCAATCATTTAAAGCGTGTAGGAGGGCCTTTTTGCTATCGACTAGGTAAAAAAAAATTTGCGGTACCAACTAAGTCTTATTTTAAGGGCGGGCTTTAAAATAAATATTAAAATAATTTTTAAAATTCAGTCTTATTTTCGGGGAAACATGGTATATAGCCAAATACAGCACGCGTATATTAAATAGCATGATTTTTCATTTATCCCAAGGGAGATCCGATAAAACGACTTGACATTTAGGTAAACCATGGCATCATGTCCGAATGCTAATTCAAGTCGATTATCAAAATCACAAACCATTAAACGCACCAACTGTATACATTGAGGAGGTCGTAACCAATTAGCATTTGCCATCTCATTACCGCGTGCACCGTACGCTATAGAGCAGTGGTTCTCAAACGGTAGGGCGCGCCACACAGTGGAGGCGTAGACAGTTCTTCGAAGGAACGTGAAGCTAATTGAAAATAAAATATTTGTACGATTTGATCTTGCCCGCCTATTCTGGATATTTGCATTTCTTTATTTTGGATATTTACGTTCCATTCACGTATTTTCAAGATGTTTTCTGAATAAAACATACTTACGACTTACTATCTGTTATTTATGGCTTATTGTTAGCTAGTTATTTTTGAGGTGGGGAGCGAGACTCTAAAAAGGGGTCGGCTTGAAAAGTTTGGGAACCACTGCTATAGAGAGTTGAATCTCGTTGGGGATTTTCTATAGCAGTTTCCTGCATCCGGTATAGCCAGGCTAACTTAGGGTTGCCATACCGCCCGAAATATTCCGGACATGTCGGGAATTTAGGGTTAAATTTTGCCTCCGGGAAGAATTTAAAAAATGCTCAAATGTCCGGAATCCGGAATTTTACTGCATCTGCAATTCTACTGTGCACACTGCTAATACGGAACATTGTTATTTCGTACCGTGCGCATATTTTTAACTACGAAGTCATGAAAATAGTCATGCACTGTCCGGAATTTTGCTTTTTTAAATATGGTGACCCTAGGCTAACTGCCCACAGTCGTTAAAGCTATATATCAGAAAATCGTGCCATCAGCTTTCCTCTATATCAAGGGTGTGCAACCTTCAATACAGGAGAGCCAGATACAAATAACTCGGTGAAACCACGGATCGCACCTTTATTTAACATAGGCTTTCTAGAAGTTGCAGGCACATAAATTTAAGGCATTGTAACGTAATAGACATAGATAATAATTGGACTCAGGCTTCGTAACTCAATGGGGTTGGAAATATTCGCATGTATCAGATTGAACTAAATTAAAAACCCGTTTCGCGAGCAGTATTCGGCCCGCGCGCCGCAGTTTGCACACGCCTGCTCAATATGATATGTTGAAAAATAATGTCTTCAATCTATCTATATTTTCAGATGCTGTGGCTGATCCTAGATTATTTCTTCGACTTTATCTACGTTCTTGACATCTTTGTTAGAATACGAACAGGATATCTAGAGAACGGATTGCTAGTCTACGAGTCTGGGAAACTCGCAAAAAATTACGTTCTCTCTCGATGGTTTGCCGTTGATCTCTTATCCCTTGCTCCAACTGATATTTACTTCTTAACTAGCGGAGTCGTGCAACCTCTTCTGCGATTCCCAAGACTTTTCAAAATTCACAGAACAAAGGCGTTTGCAAGGTTAGTTGGTTGATTTAGCTGTGAACAAATTTGTGGTAAAAGAAGCCGTTGCAGACTCGCGAATACGTTGACAACCACCTTCAAAAATGTCCAGCAATCCTTTCACACATAATTATTCCCGTGGGTTTCGAACCCCGAGCAGAGTAATTAGCGAACGCAATAACAAGCGTGTTCGTAACGCACCATTGTTCCCTCAATAAACAGTTAATGGGTTACGGTTACATTTACAATTTTGGGTACCCCGTAGTGCAGGCCTGGGCAGGTTGCAGCCCGCGGGCCACATCCGGCCCGCGGCAACGTTTTATCCTGCCCGCGACCCGATTTCTAGATCTAGAAAAACGAGGTATTATATAATTATCGGCGACGGGATGCTGAAGGTAAATGAAGGAGTAAAGCTGCTACCAACCTAAATCTAGATTAAGGTGCGACAATATAGCATACTAAAAAATAAACAGAAGCGATATATATTGTTTTGATCCAGGTGGCTTGTGACAGATTAAGAACGCTGTTGTAGAAATTAGAAACTGAAAAATTTCATGTGCCCTCGAAACCATACTATAACTGAAATTGAAAGACAGTCGATTGTGCGCGCGATATATCTTTTGATCAATTCTATCTATCTAATTCTAAAATCACCGACGGGGCCTTACATATAAGATAATTAATGTGAATTAAATTCAATCGATTTTTATGGCATCCTACTAAAATAAATTTTTACTTGGCGTGGTTTTATCACAGACGTAAGGATTTTTCTAGCGGTAAAATCTTTAAAACAGAGTAAAGTCGGTTTTGTAAGAACAAATCAGATTTGGCGAATTCGCGAAATGGCAAAACACGAATAAAAATGATCTAGCAATTAACGTCACATTTTTATGTCCGCGGATTGCGTTCGTATCTCATAGCAGTAATGATTATATTTTATCAAAGCAGCCGCGGTTAAGTTGAGAACAATAAAGCAAGACATTTTAAATAAGCCGTATAGCAAAAAGGCATCAAAGCCAAGTATATTCCGGTAGTTTATCTCACATTTTTATATCCGCAGTACAATAGATATAGTACTTTGTTTTATTCAAATGTGTAATAAAATACGACAAAACGCGCAATATATGTTGATTTTACTTAGTCCGGCCCACCACTGCATTTTGAATATTCAATGTGGCCCGATAGCCAAAATAATTGCCCAGCCCTGCCGTAGTGTGTGTAACAGGTTAGGGTCAGGCCATCATTTATTTCGATTTTCCCTATTTTAGTTCTATTACGAGTTTGAGGACTGTATGTGTTTGCCAAATGAATGCCCATATGTTTTAGTCACTTTATACAATTTGATGTAAAGTAGGCGAACAAAATTAGTTACCTCCATATTGGTACAATATATAAATTTAGTAATGGCCTATGTAGCGCCTTTGAAACTAAACAGCGATTAACCGGTTCATTTTATCTGGTTATCGGTCAGATTGGCTGAAATTCATTATTATGCTCAATACAAATATTTGTGCTTTAAGTATATATAAATGTTAATATCAATTTGTTTTACAGGCGAGCAGAATCTCGCACTTCTTACCCAAATCTTCTCCGAGTTCTCAACCTCTGTCATATGCTGATGCTTCTCATGCATTGGTTTGCTTGTTTCTACTACATGATCAGCGAATCGGAAGGATTCGTCTCCCATCAGCAAGGTAATATTTTAAAGTAAAGTCTATTGTTCAGTGTTATCGTTATTTAACCGCAAAATAAATTGGACTAAAGTGTGATTGATGATCAAATGATGCAACGGCTCTGTCTTAATGCCTCGCCTAGAAAAATCGGTACTTCCGAAGTATGTGAACCAAGATGGCGGACACCGGAACGTAGTATGTGTACCAGGTTAGGGTTAGGCCATAATTTATTCCAATTCCAGTTCTATTACAAGCTCGGGAACTAGCCAAGTGACTCCCGCAGTATTTGTACCTGAAATTATGGCCTAACCCTAACATGGTACACATACTACGTTCCAGTCCGCCATCTTGGTTCACATACTTCGGGAGTACCGAAAATAATACTGATAGATGAACCAACTTTGTGTGTGTGAGTGTAGTTTGAACAATACCTATCTCTACTTGTTTTTCTTAACTTTTATGTTCTTCTTAACATAAATAATGCCATTAATCTTAGTTTATGTCCTACTCCATATATATATGTAGTATTATACCAATCCTAACCAAGAAGATAAGCGATGATGAATCCCCATTTATATTCTCATTATAACCATTTATCTATAGCTTTATATCTATCCTAACTTTGAACATACCTTGAATCCCACTTCATAATCTCAACTCTATCATTTGTTTTGAATCTATCCTGACCTAGAACATACCACGAATCCTATTCTAACCATTCCCAGAGTTTTTAATGCATCCTAACTAGAATATACACGCATTGTGTTATTGTCTTTTCTGCAAACTTACTAACGGTAGTACTAAAACAATAATATAGCGATACTGGATCTGTAGCACTTCTATATCTTTTAACTAACTAACTAACTAACACAAATCTTCTTTCCTAATTTTATTTCCAGATCTTTCTGGCAATAATCCAGCCGTAATATTTATAGGCGAGGAGAGGGGTTGGGCCTATCCCCTGCCGTCTAATACCTCGATTCCGTCACCATGGACTGGTTTGCGAAGGAAGTATTTGCACTCGTTATATTGGGCTTGTCTGACTTTAACTACAATTGGAGAAAAGCAATCTCCCGATACGGATATACAGTAAGTTTGGACAGTGGCGTATCTACGTAGAATGGCGCCCATAGCAAAGTTTAAGAATGCGCCCCTTTGATAGTTGTTTGACAATTTATAATGACTAAATTGAGGTACTTGTACGTTATTATTCGAGTAAAAATACGAGTTTCAATTAATCCCAATTTGAAATTATTTTATTGAAACCTTTTAGGTTTAAAAAAAAAAGATTTTGCAGTCTTTGCGCCCCTGTTCAAACGGCGCCCATGGCTGTCACGCCCTTGATATGCCATTTAGTTTGGAACATCTTTGCGAGCTTTTCTGCTGTTTTAAATTCCACATGGTCTTGTGTGAACATACCAGCGTCAATGCATAGAGTCTATCCTACTCCCATTCTGACAATAATACACAAAAATACAACACCATGTACATAGCTCAGATTTCATTCTAGCGTCCCTAGTTATTGTGGTGACCTGAATCCCGTGTATCCAGAGGCGTGTCTAGAAGGGGCGATAATAGAATCCCCCTGGCAGTCCATTATAGGAGTGAGTTTGTTGCTTAGTTTGCTGATTTAAATAATAATAATACAAACATTTCAATCCTACTCTTCCTTAAATTTATTTATTCTCGTGTATAACAACATCCATAATTTGTTTATCTCCAGATTTTATAGTATACAATCAGTAGTGGGATTCGGCCGGTTCGCACCGGTTTTATAGAACCGTCCACGGAATTTTATGATATCAGCGAACCGGTTAGCATTACTGAAAAAAAAAATGACTTTTTGTAACAGAACCGGCGGCAAAATATGACTTTTGTTATGGAACCGGCTAACAAAAAAATTGAATCCCACGACTGTATACAATATAGTACAGTATACAAGTCCCAGGATGCAATAACGGATGGTTTTTTGAAAAAGGTCGTTTGGCTATACTTTTATTATCAGAAGAAGTGGACCTATAGATAGATCGTATTACCAACTTGTTATTGTTTTGGTAATTCTTGCTGCCGGAAAAATCGCTTTTCCTCGCAACCAATCGACAAATCAAATTTACAGTACTCAAAACCGCTAGAATCGCGGTCAAACCGGTAAAGATATAAATTTTTGCGTCGATGGGACTAGAATTGCTTTAGATTTGAAGCTTTTGAATGATGAGATAAGGACTTCAGCTAATATCTCTATAGTAAATTGAAATCTCAGAGTTTCATGATCACAACACATTTCAACTTTTGCTCACAAAGGAATTATTTTGCCAACTGTTCGATTCATACCACCACCCCATTACCCGACCTCTTTATTTGCACGTTTTGCCTGACATATAAATAGCCATCGTTAGGCAACACATAAAACTTGGTGAAGTTTGAATATCAGAGTAAAATTGACTCCAACTCCGCTTCGCTCGAGGTCATTACCTAGCGTCAGTTATGTATGGACGTTCGGCAATACACAAACTAGTGGCCATTATTCGGCCATGCCTAAACAAGGGATAATAATCTTTGTGCCTTCTCTCGTCTCAATGAATAAGCCTCAAAATCTCGTTTATTTATTTTGCGTCCAGCCCGCGCCTAATCTACGAGATTCCAACGCTTAATCCAGATTTCCCCGGGTTCCCAACGTGAATTATTGATATCTGGGATGATTAGCAATGTCTCAGAATAATGCATGTCGTTAAATATCCATCAATTCGGATTTGTTTTTCCAGTCAGAAGTTAAACATAATTGGCTATTTTAATAAATATATTAACGTTATTGATGAATTTTCATTCAAATTATTGAAAATTTGACACGAAATACATATTGAAAAACAAATTCGTTTTTTCGGTACTCCCGAAGTATGTGAACCAAGATGGCGGACACTGGAACGTAGTATGTGTACCAGATTAGGCCATAATTTCATGTACAAATACTATGGAAGTCACTTGGCTAGTCCACGAACTCGTAATGAAACTGAAATGAAAAAAATTGGAATAAAATTATGCCCTAACCCTAACCTGGTAAAAATACTACATTCCGGTGTCCGCCATCTTGGTTCACATACTTCGGGAGTACCGCTTTTTTTTGTTATTCACACGAGGAGTACTTTTCACACCGTGGTTCTGAACGATGCCATACATACACCCACTAATACGGTATATAGAATGATAGAATTTTTGAAAGAACTAGAATATTTTTTGTTTATGATACGTCCCAAGCAACCTATTACGACATTAGTGTGGTAATGGGCATGGGATTTGATCTCAAGAATTAATATTGCGACAACAATTGCAACAATCGGGTCATCAAAATGGAATGAAAAAGAGCAGCTTGACGAGAGATGTCTGTGATGGCTACCCAATTTATTATACCCTGCATGCTGTGATGGGAATGGAATTTTATCCCGGAGCTTGCGATAACAACAAGATTAAGCCCCCAAAATTGAATTTAATGCCGAAGCATGCCCCGATAATGGTCCCAATTTAAAACAACCAACTTTCACAAATATATTTTAACCAGTTATGGACTGTATTCTGATATTTCATAATCTTGAACCAAGGCTGCCCAACCCGCCGAAGTGTTTTTTGCGGCCCACTCTTTCGAGTTTGTAAGCAGACTTTTTATTATTACCTATTACTTTTTATTATTACGTATGTGTCAAGTCTTGCACCCTGGGGGACATCAACGCCATTTTTTATTATTTCTCGCAAAACTGCATTAAAAACATGTCTATGTCCGCAATATCGAATCAAATAAAGTTACATGTCCAAAGACTTGTTGATAATGAATAGAGGTGACGCTGCACAATAAAACTTTTATAATATTTCATGAGCTTTAGTATCATTTGAAATATTTTGATACTTGATCACCTAAATTAATGATACAATTTCTTTCACAGATATGTATGTACACTGGCTGCCTATTTCCTTGGGATCTTCGTTTTCGCTACAGTCGTGGGTAAGTGCATTGTCTGGCTTTATATAGAATGTTTAATCCAAATTAAATTTAGTCAAGAGTAGGGAGGTACTCCTGTAGTATGCAAACCAAGATGGCGAACACCGGAACGTAGTATGTGCACCAGTTTAGGGTTAGGCCATAGTTTTATTACAATTTTCTTTATTTTAGTTCTATTACGAGTTCGGGGACTAGCCAAGTGACTCCCGTAGGATTTGTACCTGAAATTATGGCCTAACCCTAACCCGGTATGCACATACTACCATCTTGGTTCGCATACTACAGGAGAACCAATAGGGAATCATATATGACCTCAATCATAATTTGAACGACCTTTGCTACACGCATTTGCACGGAATAAGGTCACATGCAAGTTTCATTTTGATAAGCTTAGACAAGACCCAATAGATCGGCATGAGAGAAGTATTTTCGATTTGCCATTTTAGTTGAAGATGCCGATGCCCTGAGAACAATTGGCTCGGTGTAATAGTCAAAGATAGGAATCAAAATATTTCGAAAATTTATGAAAGTATTTCTACTTTATTAATACGTTTGTCAAATTTACAGCGTTAAAATGATTTATCTGTAAAATTAAGATTTATTTCTAGCTTGTATTAAACTTATTAAGGTTTAGTATTTTAATTCTGTTAAATTTTTATAACTTCATTGTGGTATATAATAGTCATCCTTTTCACGGACTCCATAACACCAAAAGTTTGAGAAACCCTGTCCTAGTGAGCAATGCGATAGAATTAAATATGATGGTATTGCAGGTTAAAATTAATTAATTAAAAAATAATTGGAATCCATTTTATTTGTTATTATTTATTTATTACGTTTGACCCTCTGGGAAGAAAAAAATCGATTCATTTCTATTAAATAATGAATTAAATAGTTCATGGATAAATAATACAATGTGAACCGACAACGCGGGGGACGAATTGCCAAAACGACAAATCAATATTCACTCATAACATTATTATAATATTTTTTCTGCTGCTATTGTAACTAGGAACCTCTGAACGTGATATGTCATGAAAATTTATATTTATTGGTCCTGTTATCTTTACAATGTAGCAATGACCTTTCAAAACACGGACTTTACCGCATTTTTGGGAATGAATTACGACTGGTATCACTATCAGAGACTATTTCTATCAAAAAATTACAAGATCGTTTTCAATCTGCTATTATTTGGTACCAATAAGTAATGTTTTTCACATCTAAATAATATGAAAATACATTTTTGAAGACACGTATTTCGATTTTGGCGCTCAAGAAGTGTGTGTACCAATATGGAGGTAACTAATTTTGTTCGCCTACTATACATCAAGTTTTGTAAAGGGACTGAAACCTACGGACAGGGATATATTCATTTGGCTAACACAGACAGTCCCGAACTCGTGATAGAAATAAATAAGGAAAATCGGAATAAAATTATGGCCTAACCTGGTACACACACTACGGAGGTACCGCGATTTTTTGTAATAAATTGGATCAATTGCCAAACCAATCAAAGTCTAGGAATAAAGAGAATAGTTTTGTAAAAGTAAGGAGACTTGTTTCTCATTGAACAATTGAATTTATGTAACATTTGTTTGGGATTCTGCGAGACCAACAATATATCTCTTCCTTATGTTTGTGCGGTACTTGAATATGTATAATTATGATGCAAGGATACTCAAAGCAAAAGTAAAGATAGATCATTCTAAGCGTTTCTAGAGTCGGCAAATGCGTTTGTTTAACACCTTCAAAAAATCTCACACTCTTTGTAAATACAATCGTGCGTTTCAATGTAATTGAAAAGAGAAGTATTTTTAAATTGAAATAGATATCATAATAAAAATATTCTATTTAAAAGCTATTTAATTTAAATTATTTTGTTGGAGAATACATCATCACGATTGCGCCTCGCTTTTCCAGACTTTAGAATTAATAGTCAAACCAATGCCAAGTGTTGCGTTAAATTGTTTTTCAACCTGAGTTTTATAGTTGTTGTTATTTTAAAATACATACTTTGTTTTGTTGGTATTTTATGTTGCGTTATTTTTTATGCGGCTCCTCACAACTTCAAGGTTTGAAAGTCGGCTCTGACACTAAAAAAGGTTGCGTCACCACTGGTATAGTGCCTTGCCGTATGTATGTGCGCCAGTTGAATCCGTATGCACATAAAGCAAGTACGTTGTGGCAAAATCAATGACTAATCAACTAATGACTTTTAAGAGATGTAGGGATCTGGTTGCACACTAACACAAATATATTTTTGGAACAATTCGTCTGACCAAGATCGGATTTCTTCAGACAAGCATGTAAGCATATATGAATCAATCTCATATTACATTTCTTGTTTTTGTTTTTAGGTCAAGTCGGAAACGTCATTGCAAACAAAAATATGGATAGATTGGAATTTGAGAGACTTGTGGTAATTCGGTTATTTATAATTTTTTTTGCCTAATATATTTTGTAATGCAGTGGCGTATCCATGTAAAATGGCGCCCGTGGCAAAGTTTGAAAATGCGCCTCTTGATCGTTGGCTGGCATTTTTTAGCGACCGTTGTTAAATTGAGATACGTTATTATTCAAGTAAATATACGAGTTTCAATTGGAAATGACTTTATTGAAACATTTTGCGATTAGAACTTTTTGCGGACCTCCAGAAGTATGCGCACTAAAATGGCGCACAACCTGAACATAGTATGTGTGTACCGGTTAGGATTCAGGCTGTGCGACATCCTGGATCGCATACTTCTGGGGCCCCCTTTTCGCCTTTTTGTCGCCCATTGCACGACCCACGCACGTGTGCCACACCATATTTACGACACCGGTGTAACGACACGTTATCTGTGTCCTTTTTTGTATAAACGATTCGATTACCCAACTAGGCCCATGTACCCGAAACATTTATTGGTTCAATTTGCTATTTACGTGGCGAGAATATCGAGAATTTCGCCAGACCATATATATTTTGTTCTTCAATATTGACTTGCAACCTTTTACAGGACAACGCAAAAATGTTCATGAAAACAAAAGGAGTATCAAAGGACATGCAGAATAGGATTCTAAGATGGTACGATTACTCTTGGTCACGTGGTATACTTCGAGGTGCTTCAGATGTAAACGCTCTCGGAATGATTCCAGATACTTTGAAAATTGAGCTCGCAATTAGAGTTAACATGGACACACTCAGGAAGGTGGGATTAATAATTAGTTTTAAGTTCTGCCCATGGCCATTACCTCGCTGCGAGTATATTTTGCTGAGCAGGCTAACCTGAATAGTTGTGATTTATTGGACACGAAATGGACCAATGGATTGTCTTGGTATTATGCTGTTCTTGTTGGTATTTTTCTTCTTGTTTTTATGAAATAGATCGCATGCAGTGGTTCTCAAACTTTTTGTTCGTGTGGCCTCATATATCAGAGAAAAAACTCACGGCGCACTTACCCCAAAATATGCGGCCTTCAAATGTTGTGATCGTTAATGTGTACTTTATTCCTTTTAAAAAGATCCCGGGTTCATATTCCTCGCTAACTCTCTTATGGGTTATAAATAACCTTTGCCGCTGAAACAGAAAGATTCCAATTCTTCTGGTCAAAGCAGCTCGGCTTGTTTTGTTCGATTGGAAAGGGTTGACACCTCAATATGAAATTTTATTTCCTAGTTAAATAAGATGTCAAGTATGTAAAAGTAATCATCAAAAGTTTTCGCGATGCGTCCTGCACTCATGTTTCAGGTTTCAGGCTCGCTGGTGGACCGAAAGTTATTTTTCGCATGCTTACTTGGGAATTATTGAACCACAAATAACAGCATTGAGACTTTTTAGACGTGATTTGATCATTCCGCCCACTTATCGCGTGTATCTGAGATTATCACATTAACTGATTTTGGTTGGCATTTGATTGACAACATCAACTCCTACGTTAAGCAGTATGGATCTCTGACTACGGAAAGTTCAAGACACCAAGAAGTTATAAATACGACTCTGAAATTACCATTCCCCGACTTTACTAGTGGTTGGTTAAGCTAATTTGAATCCAAAATTGATATAGCGACTTACCACTAATCTACATCATTTGATTAACCCGTTTTATTGATTTTTCCCGGGTCAGGATAAAAACGACAACCTAACAGTCAATGAGACTTAACTCAACGATTGACTCGACTCGACTCGAGTTTCTATGACTAGCTTTATTTGCACAAGTCATATTTGTGACAGCAAAATTACTTTTTTAACAAGAATCTAACACTCTTTTTTATTCAGGTTTCTATCTTCAAGCTAGTGCAGCCAGAGTTCTTATATGCACTTGTGTTAAAAATGCGATCTTTTGTGTTTACTCCTGGTGATTTAGTGTGCAGGAAGGGAGAGGTCGCAAGAGAAATGTTCATCATCAACCATGGAGTCCTCAATGTAGTAAAGTAAGTGAATTTGCTTTGAAATTTTGGCATCGATTTAAATTTTACTGGACATGTTTCGGGTTTGAATCCTATGTTCTATACCTCACCTAGAGGGTACTTCCGTAGTATGTGTACCAGATTAGGGTTAGGTCATAATTTTATTCTGATTTTCTTATTTTAGTTTTGTTCCGAGTTCGGGGACTGTCTGTGTTAGTCAAGTGAATATACACCCTGTCCATAGGTTTCAGTCCCTTTACACAACTCGATGTAAAGTAGGCAAACAAAATTAGTTACTTATATATTGGTACACTTCTGGAGCGCCACTCAGGGTGCATTAGGAAATGCTGAACTGACACGATTCTTGCCAATCAGAAAATTCTCTTACATATCGTTAGATATTATTGGTTGATTGTTTAAAGCAGGGATGGCAAAACGAACTGACCCTAGCGACAAATATCCACCACATTTTTTCGGTGACCCACCAAGTCCACAACAGCGATTTTTTCATGAAAACATTGTTTGAATATCCATGACGCACATTCTCCATTTCGATAATAAGACACACAAATTGAGTAATTCAATTTGACCCGCCTGATGCTACCACAAACGCAATGAAACCAAATGTTGATGTTTTAGCTAAACAAATAGGTCAAGGAATTTGTTGAGATTGCGATTAAGTGTAGTTTTGACACGCGGATTATTGTTTTCCACTTTTGCTTTTGTAACACTGTAAATATTGTCCATAAAATGTAACTTTTCACGCAACACTTACATTGCCCGTCAGTCTAGGTGGGCAGCATTTTGACCCCAAAGGTCCAAAAACTTTGCCTACCCCTGTTTTAGACTCTTTTAACAACGTATGTTTATAACGAATCCTAAAACAAACAAACATATTATTTCATTTTCAATAGTGATTGTGGTCACGTGGTTGCTAGTCTCGGAGCAGGCGATTTCTTTGGAGAAATCGGAGTTTTGAACATAGTGAACGGAGTCAATAAACGTGTGGCTAATGTAGTATCCGTCGGATACTCGGAAGTTTTCTCTCTCGCTGGAAAAGATGTCTTAAAAGCAATGGAATATTATCCAGGTAGGATGAATGGTAAAGAGGTACTCCCGTTGTGTGTGTACCAGGTTAGGGTATGCCATAACTTCATTCAGATTTTCTTTATTTTAGTTCTATTACAAGTTCGGGGACTGTATGTGTTAGCCAAGTGAATATACCCCCTGCCTATAGGTTTCCCTTTACACAACTTGATGTAAAGTAGGCGAACAAACTTAGTATACTTACTTACAAACTTACTCCGTATTGGTACACACACTTCTGGAGCTCCCCAAAGTGTAAGATGCGTGTGGCCTTGGCATAAGCAAACTACTGCCCGCGCGACAAATTAGTGAAAAGGTTGCTTGTTTCGGTGAGTCGAAGAAAACCTTTGTGTACCAACGGAATTTTCGGATTTTTTTCCACACTCGCACAAATGTTATCACTATCTCACTCTTTCCCTCTTAATTTCTTCCTTCTTTAATGAGGTCCATTTACAATTTCAATTTTGTTATGAAGTCAGTTCCCAGTATATCGTAACAAGGTTTGTTGTTTTTTAATCAGTAATTGTTTAAATATTTTTACTTCATTTACTACATTTGTGAAGACCTAAACAACCTATGGTATCGATAAATTTCCTTTGCAATTTCAAAAATTCTCAAGACTTCATGGACACCTTATAAATAACTTCTTTCAACTAACAGAGGCGAAGAATCTTCTTCTAATATACGGGAGACAGAGATTCAACGAGACACAGAACTCAGATAATAATAATGCAACGGAGGGGAACAGTGCTTCTACATTCGGGAATGGTTTATCAAGGTAATATAGGTTTATATTAGTACTTTAATATCAATTTGAAGCCGTTAGAAAACGGAAGTATAGGGTGTGCATGAAGTCTTTAAAAATTTTAAAATTGCAAAGGGGATTTATCGATACCATATATTGTTTTGGCCCTCACAGGTGTATTAAATGAAATAAAAAGAACAACAAACCTGGTTAAGATATATTGAGAACTGACTTCATAACAAAATTGAAATTATAAAGGGACTTTATGGACTTTACGTCATATTCGGATAATTGGAGGGCTTGGCAACGTTTGTTAGCGTCTTTCTAAAAAAAAAGCATTTATTATAAAAGAGAGATAAGAAAAATCGATCTTGAGATAATCTCATTCCAGTAGGAATATGTGAACCAGGGCTTTTCAAAACTGAGGGTCGCGGCCCCGCTGGTGAAGCGCAACGAATTTTAGGGGTCGCAGAAGGTAAATCAATTTCACACAAAGCATCATGTTTATTGTTTTTTTAGACTTCTGATCCAAAACACAATTATTAGAACTAGTGGAAAATATAAATCTCACGATTTCGAAAGAAAACATAGGATCGGAGAAGCGACGCGGTCGCAAAAAATTTAGGAAAGTTTGGCAAGCCCCGATGCAAACCACTTATTGAAGAGTCACAACACTGGGTGAACCGAAAATTTGTGGGGTTCCGCATTGTTTTAATAAATTTTGTACACCATCGGCGATCATGGCCTTCCATTCCAATCTGTTCTCGTGATGAGTTCTTTGTTGGAGGATTCTTTCTTCGTTGCGTAACTATTCAGACTGTCGGTTTTTTTCTGAATCCACACCCATATATGTGAATATGTTAGAGTTAGATACATGAAATATAAAAAATAGCGATTCACGGGATACATTACTCAATAAACAACATCATATTTAGCAGTTCAACTGATTCATCTGCATCTGCAGCCAGCATTAGATTGAGAGAACGGAGGAAAAGAGAATTCGGGCTGAGGTAAATTGAAACTGACTTGTCCCAATAAAACAGCAGTTCTCAAACGGTTGGACCTTGTTTTGGAGCAAATTCGAGTTTAAATTAACAAATTCAGTATAACGTGGTAATAAATAACTGTTTTGAAAGTTAGGAAAGTTCACAGCAAAGATATGAGTAATTCATGTCAACCTTCCTTTCTCTTCATTTGGATAGATACAAAAACGAAAATAGTTTTCAACAGATAAAAATGTAAATTTTCTCATATCCACTTTTATTTCAAAGTGCCCGCAAGGTTGCACCTGACAACAAAGATTCGTCGAAAGAAAAAACGACTAAGAAGAAATTCACGAGCAAGATACACAGAAGAAATGTAAGTTCTTCTCAAAAACCAAACGAAACTTACACTCTATTGTCAATAAGCGGCGCCGCCACTGCAGTTGCCGCTTCGGTACCTGAAGGACAAACCATCGGTGAGAAATTATGCGTGTTGTGAATTATTATGTGAGATCCGTATAGTCCAAGGATGCTGTAGCATTAGTGAAGACAAGTCTAAGTTATTCCATACTCTTACTACGTACTAACACGAATGCATTTCTGTAACGTTTCGTCCGATGAAGGTCGTAAAGAAATATATTTTTGTTAGAGTGCAGCAAGCCAGCAAGACTCTTGAATCACTTACGATAGTTATGCTCACTCTTGCTACAACAACCTTGCAATATATGCGGATACGACGCTACTAAAGCTTCGGTGCAAAACGATATCGCGAAGACATGTGTGAATAATTTTGCATGAATTACATGAACTTTCGAGTCTTTCCAGTGAAAGTAATAGCCATAACAGCATGGTGTTCTGCTAATAACAGTAACAAAATTATTAACAAATTAAACTACAAACCTCGAAACATCCTGTAGCAGTGGTCAGGAGTAAAATTTGCAGGCGAAAGATGTAAATGACCAAATGCGGCTTGTGGTCATATAAAAGCGCGGTCTCCAAGTTGGCCACAGAGAAATTTAACGGGGGTAAAATGCTGGGCGCAAACTGATTCAACTTTTCCTTACAAGATTTCCCCGTTCTTCCCAGTTTCATTGCTTGATAAGGTTTTTCCATATAGTGTTTTCACTGTGTTGAGCAGGAATTGTTTGAACATAATGGGTTTTGAAATCTACCAATCAAAATAACACTGAAATGATAAACAGGGGGCCATGAGTGCTAAAATCTTCCAGAAGGAGGTCACGAGCCATAAAAGGTTGGAAACCACTGAATTTTAGAAGATTGCACTTGTTTTTCGATGACAAATTAACAATTGTCAGACTTTTACCATTATAATCGACTTTTATTTATATCCAAAAGCCAACAAAAGAAAGGACTCGGAGACATCTTCAGTCATTCTAAACGAGCCCCAGGAACCTCCTGATTGCGCACAGTTCGCCAATGTTTCACCGAATCATTTGCATGATCATAACACAAGAATGGAGTCGAAGATGAATTACCTGGTAAGGGTTTGCTTGTTGATGGTTGAATCAGTCAGTAGAAATTATAAATTTTATTTTTTTTTCTTTCAACGAGATGAGACTGTGATGTATGAGACTGATGGTTTTTGGAAATGAGTAGACTGGTTATAAGACTGCAATGTTCATATTTATGGACACAAATTTTGTGCCCGTCCCAATAAAAAACTAGAAGTAACAGTTTTCGAACGACACTCTCCATCCCCAAGTACATCTTCAAAATAGTCAAAATCGATTTGGCCATTTCCTCACAACAATAACAATTCAGCAATACCCATATGTCCACCCATAGGTCAACTCCATGCGAAAATTTGGGTACTCCCGTAGTATGTGTACCAGGTTAGGGTCAGGCCATAATTTTATCCTGATTTTTCTTATTTTAGTTCTATCACGAGTTCGGGACTATCTGTGTTAGTCAAGTAAATACACCCCCTGTCCATGGGTTTCCGTCTCTTTATACAACTTGATGTAAAGTAGGCGAACAAAATTAGTTACCTCCATATTGGTACACATACTTCTGGAGCGTCCAAAAATGTCCCTTTCTGTTCAGATATCCATGATGAAACAACAAGGGAGTCGATCTCGTTCGTCATCAGCCCTGAGTGAGAAAGGCATTGATTATAGGAAGATAGTCGAAGATCAGGAACGAGAGATCATAGATAAAGACACAGAAATAGAAGGCTTGAAGAAAGACGTACAGTTGCTGATGGTAAGATATAAAAATCCTCAAATCGGTGTTTTGGAGACTCATTCGACTCCACATTCGAGTGAAGGGTCGCGTCAATCACTCGGGCCTTCCCAGACTGACTGTTATTATATTTCTTTAGAAATATCTATATAGATCGGGTTGGGTCACCTGCGACCCACGAGCCAATAAGGAAAATCGTGCTGCCCGCGTGGAACTGCCAATTTGGAAGGGTGTGCGCCTGCTAAACGAGTTTTTAATCTAGTACGTGAGAGTCATTCCAATCCCTTCGCGCTGCAAAGCTTGTACCTTCCTCCTTAACCGGAGCTTGTGCGAAGCGAACAGCGCATGTAATAAGATCATTAACCAAAAGTTTTGTGCTTGCAACTACTAGAAAACCTATGTTAAATAAAGGTGTGGCCCGCGTTTTCATCGAGACCCCTGATCCAGATGATTTGATTAACTTCGAGTCTTTGATAAAAGTGTTTCTAGTGAAAACCGAAGGTGACTACTAGATTGGGAGATGCAATTCAAGTCGAGTCATGGGTCAATAGCGTCGCGAGTCCAAGTCTAAATTTAAGTTAAATTTCACTGAAGGAATTTATCCAGTTTCATGGAGCAAAATGCATCTCCGCTGGGACTCGAACCCAGAACCTCTGGATTAGAAGTCCAGCGCGCTATCCATTGCGCCACGGAGACGGCTGTTTTCCACCATTACAGGCTAAATGTAATCACACTATCTCTATCAACTTGGCATTTATCCAAAACTTCCCAACCGACTAAAGGTATGGGCCAAGTTATAGTCACTGTTGTAATCATTTGTTTATTTTGCATGCTTCCACTTGATACTCGTAGTACCGCGTTAAGAGTCTGAGTCGATTCTCCCAACACTGACTTCCATATAAAAACTTAACGCGAGTATCAGGTGGAAGCATGCAAAATAAACAAACGATTGCAACATTCGGCATGACTTGGCACATACGTAATGTTTAGTTGATTCAGGAGTTTTGGATAATTGCCAAGATTATAGAAGTCGTATGGTTATAGTTTTCCTGTAAATCCGGAAAACAGCCGTCTCCGTGGCGCAATGGATAGCGCGCTGGACTTCTAATCCAGAGGTTCTGGGTTCGAGTCCCAGCGGAGATGCATTTTGTTTTCGAACTCCTTTTGCAAATTCTCATTGGAAGTCGACAAAAAGTTTATTCCCTCTTCAATGCTTCATTCAAATATTCTTGTCACGTAGACTGACGAACGGATCGAGATAGACCTGCGTCACCGAAATGAAATGATTCGCAATCGCACTCAACTAACCGATATTGAAACTTAACTCGATAATATACTCGAACCTAGATTCAGATTCAGATATTTAATTTCGTCGTGCAAAACCAATATACAATATGAAAAATATATAAAATGCATGTAACAAATTACAAAAAACGGATATCGGCTTGCATGTACACTGACGAATGGATCGAGATAGACCTGTGTCACCGAAATGAAATGGATAGGATAGGATTTACATATTTATCCCGGGGGAGAGGAAAGCCGATAAGACGGCTTATCCATATGGCGAACCACGGCCTCTCGTCCGGTTACCATTCCAAGTCGGGTACGGGATTAGTTTTACTGTATTGTTTGTTTTCGGAAGCATGGACTTGGTGGTGGAGGAAGCCGTAACCGAACAGCGGTTACGTGAACCACCCAACGACGGTGAGCAGTCCAGCAATCCTCTCGCACATAACCATCCCTGCATGGGATTCGAACCTGCGAACCCAGGCAGAATAATTAGAGGTGCGGTGGCGAGCGTATTCCTAACGCTTAGCCCGTTGAGCCACACCGCCGCGCAATCGCAATTCGCAATCGCACTCAACTAACCGATATTGAAACTTAATTCGATAATATACTCGAACCTGGATTCAGATTCAGATATTTAATTTCGTCGTGCAAAACCAATATACAATATGAAATATATAAAATGCATGTAACAAATTACAAAAACGGATATCGGCTTGTTGCAGTTGGCGAGGGGTCGCGAAAGACTGTTTAAAGAGTCGTTCAGTCAACGATACCTTGCAACTGAATTGAACCAGCGGAACAACTCAATATTAAACATTTACTCAATTAGACTCAATCATATAATAAGAAAGTAAGACTGGGATGATCCTCACGTGATCAGTCAATAACATGGCAGAAATATTGCTGATATATATATAAGTTATCAATGGATAAGGATTAGCTTTCTTTCAACTTTGCATTATGGAATTTCACAAGTTTCAATAGTAAAATGCATCTCCGCTGGGACTCGAACCCAGAACCTCTGGATTAGAAGTCCAGCGCGCTATCCATTGCGCCACGGAGACCGCTGTTTTTCCAACATCCCGGACTAACCATAATCTCACACCCTCTATAATCTCGGCAATCATTCAAAACTTCAAACCCAGCTAAACAACGTATGCGCCAAGTAATGATGACTCTTGCAATCATCTGTTTATTTTGCACGCCATCTGTTGATATTCGTAGTCAGTTGTTAACGAGGCTCGAGCAAATGAGTTAGACTCGATTCACAATTTATCAACAACTCAAAGTGAGTCGAGAAATCTAAATAAAATGACTCTAATTCGTCATCAACCAGCCGCCAGTCAATTTTAACCCTTGATTGAGTCGACTTCAGACTCGGCTCGAGTTACCATTCATCGAATACTGGAGGAAGTAATTGTAGTCACCTAAATTAAAACTTAGACTCATTATCAACTAACCGCCATTTAGACCTAACTCAGTGACTGGACTCGGGACTTGGTTTGCCGACTTGACTCGCGCCGTCAAATATAGCAGTCAGTGTAGGGAGAGGTCGAGTCACTAACTTGTCTCGACTTGGTCGCGAGTTAACATTCATCAAAGTCTAGAACAGAAATGGGCAAAGTACGGCCCGCGGGCCAAATACGACCCGCTAGGCAATTCAATCTGGCCCGTCTGATGATGCCACAACCAAACTGAAACCAAATTTTGATGTTTAGATTAAATATAGCTCAGTGAATTTGTTGAGATCGCAGTTAAATTTAGTTTTTGCACGAGGTTTATTGTTTTCCACTGTTGCTTTTGTAACACTGTAAACATTGTTCATAAAATGTAACTCTTTACGTCATACTTACATGGCCCGCCAGTCTAGTTGGGCTGAATTTTTGGCCCCTGATCCCAAAAGCGTGCCCACCCCTGGTATAGAAGAGTATCGAGAGTCATTTGAATAGAAGTCAGTGAATGACTCGGATTAACTCAGTCAACTACATTGTCGCAGATTTTTTAACGACCTCGTATTTTGGAATTTCACAAGTTTTAAATGTAAAACGCATCTCCGCTGGGACTCGAACCCAGAACCTCTGGATTAGAAGTCCAGCGCGCTATCCATTGCGCCACGGAGACGGCTGTTTTCGAATATTACGGCCCAACTATAACCATGTTACCTCTATAATCTTGGCAATCATTCAAAACTTCAAACCCAACCGAACAACGTATGCGCCAACTCATGATTACTCTTGCAATCATCTGTTTATTTTACATGCATACTGTTGTTACTGGAAGCATCGCGTTAGGTTTTTTATGGTAGTCTGTCTAGTCAATAACCAGTGTTATAGGTAGAATCGACTCAGAGGTGCGGTGGCGAGTGTAATCCTAACGTTCAGAACGATGCGCCACATCGCCGAGCTAGAAATCCTTGATTCCAGTCATCTACAATCTACACTGCCTATATTGCTTGTAGGCATTTTCACGAGAGAAGAAATAAGTTTCTATCGGCCTCACATTGACGAACCTAATTTATATGAAGTTTCAAAAACTAGAAATGCATCTCCGCTGGGACTCGAACCCAGAACCTCTGGATTAGAAGTCCAGCGCGCTATCCATTGCGCCACGGAGACAGCTGTTATTCAAACATCACAGGCTAACTATAATCGCACTACCTCGAAAATCTTAACAAAACTTAACTTATGGGCCAAGGTATGCCGACTGTTGCAATCGTTTGTTTAGTTTGTTCATCTTGCATGTTTCCACTTGGTACTCGGAGCATCGCTTAGTTTTTATAGTAGTATTGCGCAATGACTCACCAATTATTAAAGAATTGAAGTGACTGGAGATATCTAAATTTAATGACTCCGGCTCGTCAACAACCGGTTTCACTGGATTTTTAGATCAGCGCGCCCACGAATGCAACAGGGGTGGTAACTTTTTGTGGCTTTGGAGCCAGGCCACACAAAAGGGGCAAGGCCACGGACAAATTGGGCCAGGCCATACATAAATTGGGGCCATGCCTCAGAATATTTGGGGCCAGGCCAGCGCAATGGTAATGTTAAGACATCAGGTACCACTCCTTCTCAACGAATGACCGCCGAGACTGTTTTTCAAACTTATTTAATTTATTTTATTTTTTTGTTTGATTGCATCTCTCGTAAAGCGCCTTGTTTGAAGTGTGAGGCGTGAATAAACGTCTTATGAGAACGTTTTACCAAGCAGGCACAGACTCTAACGATAGAGACATACTCTGAAACACCACCAACTGATTCACGGGATTCTTAACCAATAGGGCAGTTTTTCCCAATCTATGGGTCGCGACTAGGGCTGGGCATTTCGAATCGAATCGAATAGTAAATTATTCGAATCTGTTCAGAGCTAAATTTCGAATCGCCGCCATCTTGTTTTTATCTTTCCGCTAATGATCGAGGTGAATTCCCCAATTTTTTTTTCATTGGAGTCATATTTTTTCAACGGAATTCTAACATATGACTATTTTCTGTAGTGAGTTATTGATAAAACGTGTTTGTTATTCTGTGTGAACGCTCAGTAATCTATCTGAGTGAATCATTCTATGTCTTCAGTAATTCATTTGTTGAGAGGACCAATTACTATAATAAAGTCGCTTACAATTATATATTTTCAAGTATTCGAGATTCGATTCGATTCGAAAAAATTATTCGATTCGATTCTGAAATCACAAGGTATTCGAAAATGCCCATCCCTAGTCGCGACCCAAAACTGGGTCGCCTTTAGTGGGTCGCTTGTTTTCAGAACCAAAACGTAATAGTTAATTTTATTGCTTGTTTTGCGCTTGGTATTGAAATGTTGCTCAGAAGTAGTACAGGGTGTCCATAAAATTCCTTTACAATTTTAATTTTGTTATTAAGTCAGTTCTCAATATGGCTTAACCAGATTTGTTGTTTTTCATCAGTAATTGTTCAAGTATGTTTACTTCATTTAATACATCTATGAGGGACAAAACAATATTATGGTATCGATAAATTCCCTTTGCAATTTTGAAATTTTTAATACTCCATAGACATTCTATATATATGTGGGGAGCATCACAGCTTAAAAACTTTTTCTATCTATTTTGGCATCTATTTTGGTTTGAGTAAAGCACGCTACGTTTTTAAAAACTCGCTGATGGCAAACAAGAGCAGTCAGTGTTGCGCAATGACCCACCAATTATCAAGGAGTCGTATTTACTGGAGACATCTAAATTGAGTAACTCTGAATTGTGACCAACTGGTTCCGTGGGATTTTTAACCAATAGGCCAGTGTTTCCCAATCTATGGGAACTTACCTACTTACTTTGGAGTAGTTTCTAGTGAAATAAATGTTAAATAAATGATTCTTTTGTATTGAAAATTTAATTTTGTGGCCATACAAGCACTACAAGCCGTTTAGTATTTGAGCATATCCTTGGGTCGGTTGAAAACAGGGTTGGGACAACTACACTAGATCACCGAGCCCACGAATGGCCGTCGAAACTGTTATTGCAAATTTCTTTATTACTTATCGATCTCAAGATTGGTAAGTATGTTGATAGGTATTTGTCTGTTTGTCTGTCTGTCTGTTTGTATGTTTGTCTGTTAGATGAACGCGATATCTCACGAACGCGTGGTTGAATCTGCTCCAAATTTTGCATGTGCATGCATCTTACCTCGGACCAGAAGCCTATAGATTGGGTTAATTATGTCGTATAATTAGCGAGTTATTAACTAATTACCGATCTAAGATCGATAAGTCTTCGGTCTCCGACCGATATTCTCGTTTTTTTCATTCTTTGGTTTGATTGCATCTCTCGTATAGCACCTTGTTCGATGCGTAAGGCATGAATAAAGTTTCTATAAGAACGTATTACCAAGCAGGCACGAACTCTAGATCAGTGGCTCTTAAACTTTTTAAGTCGCGCCCCGTTTTCAGAATTTGTCAATTCTCGCGACGCACCTCAAAAATAGCTAGCTAACAATAAGTTACAAATAACAAATAGTAACGCGAAAGTTTTATAACAGATAATAAAAAATATCAGCACAACAGCTCTCGGCAATCTCTGAACAATAAAGAAATGTGAATATCCAAAAGGCGGGCAAGATCAAATCTGACAAATATTTTTATTTTTAATTATCATCACACACCCTAAAAAAATTGTCTACGCTCGCCATGTGGGTCCCGTTTGACAACGACTGCTCTAAAAAGTGTTAATTCTGATGTTTTTCATGTCAATAAACAAAAACTTATTGTTTGTTTCAGAGTAAACTTACACTATCAATGTCGGGCAAAGAGTTCGGACTGGAAACCTTCCGAAATTCTGGTTATTACGACACAAAGCGTAAGTCCGTGACGTCATCATTTGAAGCCACGCCCCGAAGAAAGAAAAGCAGTGTCGATCACTCAGATTTATCTAACTTGGTGCAAAAAATGTTCCGTAAGAGTAACCCATCTGGAAATCGCGTGAAAAAGAGGTCGCTAACACGACCCAAAACTGTGGGAAATTTATCTTCCTATGTAGAACCAGAAGACGTCCAAACATTCGATCAAGAGGAGACAATAGAGTCGCAACAAACGATTCAAGAAGAAATACCGGAGTTTTCAAAATCGCCCCGGATTTCGATTCACAAAAAATCCGATGTGCAAAAATTGACTCCAACTTCGGAAGGACCTTCCAACGCTTCAACAGTAGAATTTGATGAAACAGCAGAAGTTAATCCTGAACCCATTGAATCAATGAAAATTGATTTGAGCGAGGTTGTCAAGGAAGATGAACCGGATAAAACTGGTCCAAACCAACATCAACTCGATTCAGCTAGTGATGACTGAGTTCCTCATCTGAATTTAAGTTGCACAAAACAGATATATATTCTAGCAATCATCTCAATTGAATTTTATTTTTCGACAAAAACTATGTCTAGTTTGTCAGCGTTGTATTTTCTCAGCCATTATGGAATTCCACACAAAGAGAACTGCAATATCTCTATGGCCTAGTTGTTAGAGCGCTTGATTTAACCAAATTAGCATCGCAGATAAATACATGGTGTCTATAAAGACCCTTTTCAATTTTGTCAGTTCTTAATACAGTCAGTTCTACAAGTCAATTTTCAATACATCTTAACCAGGTTTGTTGTTTTTTAATCAGTAATTGTTTAGATATTTATCATTTAATATATTTGTGAGGGCTAAAATAATATATGGTATCGATAAATTTTCTTCGCAATTTTAGGACTTTATGGACACCCTATATATTAAGTTTAATCCTCATTCCCTTACCACATGGTGCAAAATCAAGACTGTCAAATTCTGGTCCTTTCATATAAGTTGATCCCTTTGTACCAGTGACTGTTTTTCTAGAAAAAAAAAGAGAAAATTGAGAGGAAATGTAGATCCGTGGTCCCCAACCTTTCATATACCGTGGTCTCCTTCCGGAGGCTTTAAGCACTCATCATGGCCCTCTTGTTTTTAATTTCAGTGGTATTTTAATTGGTGTATTCCGAATTTCATTACGTTAGAACGATACATGCTTAACAAATTGAGAACTCTCTGGGAAGATAGGGGTTTTCTTGTAAAAGGTAAAGTACAATACTTTTTTCGTTTAGCATTGTGGCCCCCTTGAGGGACCCTGGACCCCCGGTTGGGAACTGTTGATTGATGCCAAAATATAGTTTTGGAATATTTGAAAGTTCCAAACATTACGATCAACAACTCAACTAATGAGATATATTCTTTTCTATAGCAATTGAATTGAGTCGATATGATCACGTTGAGGTCTCGAGTTTTGTAATTTTGATATGTAACTTGGCCACGAGAATTTTTAAGTTTCAATTTCTATTGTTAACCAGAAAGCTGCGTTTTACAATAATTTTATAATTTCACATTATGCAGCACATAACATACCATTGAAATAAAATACAATCCCTTCACAATTTCAATTTTGTTATGAAGCCAGTACTCAATAAATCTTAACCAGGTTTTTTTATTTTTAATCAGTAATTTTTCAAGTATTTTAATTTCATCCAATACATCTGTTAGGGCTAAAACAATATATGGTATCGAGAAACTCCTTTTTCAATTTTAACCAATTTTAAGACTTTATGGACACCCTATGTGTTCAAATCCTTCAAATTTGTCAACTCTGCAAGAATTCACCGGTCGTATGTTGTACATTTGCTTAGCTAACCTAAATATTTTATATTCTAATTGGACTTCATTTTATTCTTTGTATGTTTACGTCATTTCACTTTTTATTTGCTTAATAAAACAAAACTTTTATTAACTTTGAATCGTAGGGGGGCGATAGAGAGTAGATAAATTGTTGTCGTTCCTAGCATGGTACAGTGGATTCCGAAAGGAGGCATTTCTCATTGATATCAGAGTTGGACCAATGCTACATTTTCAGATTCATAGTACGTGCTGGAGTCAAGATTTCGAACTCCAACAGCGTCGGACTTGATCATCTGGAAACCCCCAAATCCGACTCCACCACTTCGGTCAACTTGGAAATTACTGCGGTTGTTTGGCATCACAATTTCATCTGATGTAGTTTTCAACAATTTATTATTATTTGTATCGTCGAGAAATAATTGTTTACTAGTCGGTCTATCGACTCATAACCAAATGATAAACTGCGGTGTCTTTCTCAATATCATTCTTACTCCGTGTTTTCCACGTTCGCGACAAAATATTGACTTTTCATTGGTTTGTTTACTCAACCGTAATAAACAGTCATTGGTGTTCAAAATATATTTATTGACTAAACATCCCAAGAGCTCTGCCAGATTAGGGCCATATATAACCACCCCTCGTTAGCTTCTTGTATACAACAGACACCTTTGGTCGGATATTGAAATAAATTTTGTACCTTAACACAGAGTTAGCATTGTTTTTCGTCCAAAAATAGATCTCCCACATACTTGAACCATTTATAAGCCTCCCCTCATTAGCGAACTATATGTAGAAAACAAATATTACGCAGTGACACATAGTAGCTATTGTTTTTTTTCTAAAAATATATTTGTGAGGGTTATATTTGTCCAAAATAGTAAATACTTTTACCCAAGTACCTGATATGTTGAACGGTCTATTCGGTCACCATTTCTTCCACCAACGTGACGATGGTAAATAATTCCCCTATTCGACTTGAATTCATAAAACATCGATGTAAACATCGATTCAAAATCATTTTTAAAGGTGTTTGTTTACTTTTCGACAAGGCTCTGTGCATTGCAAAGCGGTAGGATCTTTGTACAAAGCCCCCTCACTAATGCAAAAAAGCGAGATTTAAGAAAAACACCCCCGCCCTGTTTTAAAATGAGAAATTAGTAAATATCCAGTTGAGGTTAGAGTTGGGAATGATTTGAAAATTAAATTAATCCTAATCCTTACCCGAACTGGATAATTACTCCTCATTCGGGGCTCCCGAAGTATGCGAACCAAGATGGCGGACATCGGAATGTAATATGTGTACTAGGTTAGGGTTAGGCCATAATCTTAGGTCTAAATACTACGGGAGGCTATTGGCTAGTCTTCGAACTGATAATAGGACTAAAATAAGGAAAGTTGGAAAAAAATTATCGCCTAACCCTAATCTGTTATCCATGTTACGTTCCGATGTCCGCCATCTTGGTTCGCATACTTCGGGAGCACCCCTCATTCTCTATCCCTAAGCGTTGACGGGAAGTATTTCGGCGGGGGATTCGTACAAAGAATCCAAGAAGTATTGATGTGAAATGGATGCACGCACAACTGGGAAAATCAATTTTTTTTTTTAATTTAAATAATTTTAAATACAGACAGACACACCTCATTACATCAGGCCAATGAATGGAGTCAGAAATCAGGGCGTAGGCAATAATTTTTCATGGGGGGGGAAGGGGGGTTGAAATGTCCTATTGCCGAGTTAGACCGTAACAGCTAGCATGTCCGTGGGTTTTTAAGAGTTTGGGGGTGTAAGAGGTGTAAGCTACGAAAAATTACTATGTATGTTACAAAAAATCCCTTTTTTTAATTTCAAAATAGGGGGTTCCAATGAGTACGTCCGGACCTGAATACCCTGCTTTGAATAGATCAAGTAAATGAACACATCATCCATTTATTTGTATACATATTATGTTTTTTTTTTAATTATTCGTTGCCGCGATGGAATAGGTCATAAAGAACTGGAAAAAATCACATTTTTAAAATTTGAATAACTCTGATTTCAACCAAACGAAACGAATGTCTATCTATAGTCTATACCAGGGATACTCAACTGGCGGACCGCGGTCCGAATTCGGACATTTCGGGTATTCGATTCGGACCGCGCATAATTCTTTATTTTAGATCATTAGCCCCACTTTTGAAGTTCTTTTTATGAAATCACTTTTATAGATTTAAATATATATGAATAGAACTATAACGCCATAATAAACAATCTTGATTAGCTGGTAATCATTAGTCGGCCGAGGAAGTGCGTGTTTAAGGATGCCGAATAATAATTTTTGGAAAGACCGGATCCAAATATTTTTGAAATTTTGTATGCGGATCTTCGGTAAAAATAGTTGAGTAGCCCTGGCCTATACAAACACACTTCATCACTACATGTCAATGAATAGAGAGACAGAAATCGTAGTCAATAATTTCAAAAGCGAGGGGGAATCTGAAATTTCTAATTGCTATAAGTTAGACCGCAACAGCTATCAGGTCCCTGGGTTTTCGAGCGTCTAAAAAGCGTTTCAAGCTACAAACGAGAATATTGGTCACAGACCGAAAACTTATCGATCGGAAGTTAGGGGATACAAAAAAACGCTTTTACTCGATAGTGACACCTTGTGTCCCATCACCAATTAATTAATAACTCGCTAATTATACGACATAATTCATCCAAAATCAATAGGCTTCTGGTCCGACATATGATGAATGCACATGCAAAATCTGGAGCAGATTCAATCTTGCTTTCTTGAGATATCGCGCGCATCTAACAGACAAACAGACAAATACCTATCAACATACTTACCGATTAATATCGATAAGTAATAATTACTATGTATTATATAAAAAAAAGTTTTTTTTCTACATTTCGAATAAGCCCACTCTATCATTCCACCAAGGTTCGCCTCTTACAAGAATACCGTTTTTAAATATATCAAATAAATAAACACATCATTCATCCATTTGTTACTTATCGATCTCCAGATCGGTAAGTTTGTTGATAGGTATTTGTCTGTTTGTCTGTCTGTCTGTTAGATGCACGCGATATCTCACGAAGGCGAGGTTGGATCTGCTCCAAATTTTGCATGTGCATTCATCATATGTCGGATCAGAAGCCTATTGATTTTGGATGAATTATGTCGTATAATTAGCGAGTCAATAATTAATTAGTGATGGGACACGCGGTGTCACTATAGAGTCATGAACCGAAACCGCAGTTTCGATCGATAAGTCTCCGGTCTCCGAACGATGTTCTCGTTTACATATTGTAGGTTTTTAATTATTCATTGCCTCGATGGGTTTTGTTTTGAAGAAGAGATTCTCAACGTTGGTCATATCAACCAATTGATGTTGTTATTATTGCGTAAACAATGAAGTCTAAAATACTTTTCTATTTATATGCACAGGTGGCTATTAATAAAAATTCCCATACGGAAGGTTGTTTAATCAAGGCTTAATCAGGGCGAGGTAAACACTATTTGAGGATTAAAGTAAACTCACGATGAAGGAAACCAGTAACCCGTTTTTTATTTTTCATCATGATAGAAATAAACTCAATGGACACTTAAAATAGAGTAAGTCATTTTCGTGTGAAGGAATTCGCTAAAATGGTTATCGATAAGCGAAACACATTATGGAGCCCAACATTAATAATCAACTGAGCGATAAAAAAACGTATTTAGAGGGCAAAGTTCAATTAACGATATGTGTGCATATAGTCTCTATCTCTGACATGGGCACACCACAATCCGGCCCGTTGGGTAGTTCAATCTGGCCCGCCTGATGCTGCCACAACCAAACTAAACCACAGTTAGATGTTTTAGCTAAAATATAGCTCGAGGAATTTGTTGAGATTGCGATTAAATTCCGATTTGGCACGAGGCTTATTGTTTCCACTTTTGCTTGAAATGTAACTTTTTACGTCACACTTACATGGGCCGCCAGTGTAGGTGGGCAAAATTTTTGGTCTCTGGTCCAAAGATATATATAAGTTTGTTTAGTAACTCAACAATAGAATATAAAATTCCCTTGCAATAGAAAGTAAATATAAGTTTTGGAATGTCATAAAACTTGTTTTCCTGTATATTTTACTTATTTATTTTTGATTTGTCATGTTATCAACCTCAATGCGCAAATGACGATACAAACATCCGAACAATGGTGACTGCTATGACATCTTTGCTATGAATGATATCTCTACATTCCAAATGCGCACTCACGTAGTGTGTGTTCCAGGTTAGGGTCGGACTATAATTTTGTTCTAATTTTCTATATTGCAGTTCTATTTCGGCGACTATCTGTGTTAGCCAAGTGAATATACCCCCTATCCATGATAATCAGTTCCTTTATACAACTTGATGTAAAGTAGGCGAACAAAATTAGTTACTTCCATGTTGGTACACACACTTCTGGAGAGCCGAAAAATGTGTTTTTTCACCGTTTCGCAAGATAAGTTTGCCGTCCTTGCTAGAGCTGTTAACGGAATATTTCAATTACGATTTAGGAAAAACATGAAAAACAAATTTATGTTCCATATGGCGTATTTTATGATGATGTGTGAAAACTTTCTTTGGTGTTAATGTAATAAAACTTGTTTACCTTCATATTTGTTTATTTCGCGTCGTGGAAAGTGAATAATGATATAACAGGAATTCGAGCAATAGTGACGATATCTCTCGATTGGCGATCACAATGAAATCCTGACTAACATTTCCTAGTCCGCCATTGAGCACGATTATTTTTTCGTAAATTCTTGATAAAATGTTTTGTTGACATTCATTAGCAAGGAAGAATGACTTATCTTATAATGTAGAGAGTTTAGAATGACATTGGGCAAGTTATCTTCCTTCACTGAGCAATATGCTACGCCATAAACAAAATTAACGCGCTTCTACTGAGAAATTAAACTCATTCCACTTTATATCACCTGGCCATCAACTGAGCCCGAATAATATTTACGTGATTTCATAATTAAACTCTTTTGTTGACAGCTGTTCACAGGGACAAAAAACTCATCTGCTATCGTAATATATTATTCATAAACAGATAAAACTCGCTTCTTTGTTATGTCATAAACAAATTCC